CGTCCTCGTCTTATTCTCATTCCTACTCTTCTTCTTCTTCTTCTTCTTCTTCTTCTTCTTCTTCTTCTTCTTCTTCTTCTTCTTCTTCTTCTTCTCTTCGTGTTCCTTTTCTTTTTCATGATCTTGTTCCTTCATTCTTCTGCACGTATCAGATTTATTTATTTTTCTTTCTTTTCCTAACGAAAATATTTTGTTTTTACTTTTTTTTGCTGCCTTTCCCCACGGCGCCACCATGTTTCTCTTTTTCGCGTTCCGGAGAGGTCCTTCGTCTTTCTGCTGCTTCCCATTTCGTTTTGTTTGCCACCATCTCATATTTTCATCTGAGACTCCCAGCCAGCCAGCCTGCTAGGGGTGCCACCCGTCCCCCAGCGCGCCGCCGCGCCGCCCGCCCCCCGCGCGCCGTGTGTGTTGAGGGTCGGCCATATATATATGTTTGCCGGATGGCAACTCCATCCCGAGACAGGGCGGCGTAAATTCCAATGCACGATATGGGGCAGAGCTCAGGTTCGGCTCACGTTCGGATCAACTTCGGCTCATGTCGGCTAAGCTCGGCTCGGCTTGCATTGAGTTGCTCTTGAGCTGCGCTTTCTTCGGCGCTCAAACGTTTCTTTCCGGGGAGAGGTCGTTTCCAGACGGGGCAGTCAGTTCGCCGCGAGCCAGCGCGTCCACTTTGAGAGGTGGGCAACACGTACTAAGGCCAGAACACCGGCGGAGGCGGCCACAATTATTCTAGACGCGTCTTGAGCTCCAGAGTCGCTAAACGGGACTCGAACAGAACGTATGACCCCACCAATGCATAGCTCTCCGAACGAGGAATCCATTGGTGGGGTCACACTTTCAGTTCGAGCTCCAAACGCGCCTAGAGTTTTGGCCGCCTCCGCCGGTATTCTGGCCCACCGTGGGACTCCCCCGCCCACCGCATTCCCTGTGATGTCAACACGGCGCTTCTGATTGGCTGCCGGGGGTATTCAATATTCAGTGTAGGGCCCAGGTGAGCCGGGCCCCCAATAGCGACCGCCACGCCAGTTTCTACATGATTAATTTTTGGCAGGGCGGGGCGGGGCGGGGCGGGGCGGCCTGGCAGAACGCCCGATAGCGGCCCGGAAAGGCGCGCTGGCTGCGCCCTGGCTGCGCGGCACTGCGGGGCACGCGGCCGTGACATTCGCCGCCTCAAAGGGATTTTGACAGCAGGTTGGCAGGTGCGGCGAAAGAGATAGCAGATTAGGAGAACAAAGAGACGGAGCGCGAAGATCAAGATCAAGGAGGGCGGGGCGCGCTCCGCTCCAGCCAGCACACAAAATTGGTTGCAAACACCTTCATTTTGTTACAACTACCCATTTCTGGCTTTCATTTTTTTTTGATAACAGGGTAAGGGTGGGAAAAATCTGATTTTGGAGAGGGAACCTGAACCAGGCTGCCCAGTGGCGATTACAGTCCACTTCGGGCCGTGGCCGAGGCCGTGGCCGAGGCCGTGGCCGCCTCCTCGCCCGGTTCCAGCGGACTGATTCTGTCTCTCTCGCACCTACAGGGGAGGCCGCGTGAGTGCGAGAGAGACAGAGCGACGAATGCGACGGAATCGGCCCACAGAACGGGCCACAGGGAAGGCGAGCCGGAGGCCGAGTCTGCCTCAATTCATATTTCGCGGCGGGTCGGCGCGGCATTTTCTCGTTTTGTGAGATAGGGTGCCGGGCCTAACGCAGTCCTTTGTTCGAGGCCCCCAGCGAGCGAGGCCGCAGCCACACACTGCAAGGGAAAACATCAGAAAGTATCTCGAGGAGCTCCCCATCTCGGGGCGCCACGGAGCGCACAGTGGGCCAGGAGACCGGTGGAGGCGGCCAAAATTCTAGACGCATTTGGAGCTCTAGAAACGCTAATGGGACTCGAATCGAACGTGTGACCCCACCAATGGATTGCTCTCCGACCGAGGAATCCATTGGTGGGGGTCACACGTTCGGTTCGAGTCCTGTTTAGCGACTCTGAAGCTTAAAACGCTTCTAGAATTTTGGCCAGCTCCACCGGTCTTCTGGCCCACTGTGGAGCGCCCTCTCAGGGCCTCGCCGCGCCTCGAACCGGCCCGGCAGGGGGCTACAGCACAAAGTTGTTGTTTTTCTTGTTGTTGTGTTTTTGTTTTAGTAATGCACTGTGCCGAAAACGCCACGCGAAGTTTCGATTTCCTCGCGTCTTGAGTTTCGGCCGCCTCCGCCGCCGGTCCTCTAGCCCACTGTGGGACGGTGAAAAACGGTGACCAAATGCCACACAACAACACTGCGCGCGGCGCCAGCCCGAGAAGCTGGTAACGAAGAATAGGCGGCCGCGTGGAGTGGAGAGGGGAGGGGGGATGAAGGGGAGGGGGAGGGGGCAAGAAGGACGTGAAGGCCGTGGTTTTACGGCACTCTGCGCTACAGCAGTGGTTCAATCTCCATTAGCCCGCGGGCCGCAGGGAGTGGAGGGACCAGAGGCTACCAAAAGCTAAAGAAACCAGTGACTGCTGGCTACCACGCGCTAAAGAAACTAGTGCACAGTGGGCGAGAAGACCGGTAGGGTTTCTCGAGTGGTTACCAAATAAGGAATCGCCGCGCCAAAGAGGGCAGCTTGGTCGCTGTCTCTCTCGCTCCGCGTTGGGCCGCTCCACGAGTGCGAGAGAGACGCAGAGAGAGACCGCAGACGCTGGAAGGCTGTGGACCGCCACCCTTCCGGCCATGCCGCCGCCGCCCCTGGCCGCCCCTCTCCGCCAGGCCCGAGGCCAGGCCAATCCTCGGGGCACATGAATCGACTGCGTCAAGTACTTTGCTCGCATTTAGGCCCCTCCTCGCGCGCCCGCTCCCTCTCTCTCTCTCTCTCTCTCTCTCTCTCTCTCTCTCTCTCTCTCTCTCTCTCTCTCTGCGCACAATCTGCGTCTTTCCTGCTTTGCGATGACGGAAGCCGTTTCTCCACGCGTTTTCGGAAAACTGGGAGACCGAAGGGAAGAGGGACTCGAACCGGGAGGGCTTCGCGTGGCCAACAAAAGACACTATTTTTACAGTGTCTACATAGTCGCCAAAGGCGATGTTGAGACATCCTAAGGATCGGAAAGACAAATCAAGAGATGGAAAGTACGTGCCTGTACTTTGACCTTTTCGTTTGAGCTTCTAGTGTTTTGCAGGGTGGTGGAGTTGAGGGTTGCGGGCACTGGGCACGGTGCGCACGGTGGCAGGGGCACGGACAGTTGGGGCTCTTTGGGGGCAGCACGGCTCGGCTCGGCTCGGCTCGGCTCGGCTCGGCTCGGCTCGGCTCGGCTCGGCTCGGCTCGGCGTGTGGTAGGGGACCGGCAACCAGCAGCGGCTGCCGGAGAAATTACCCGCGAAATCCCGGCATAATTACAAGCAACCGCTCGCCGCATGCCCTCCGCCCCGCCCCGCCCCGCCACGTGCGGGGTGGCCGGGTGGCGCCCACCCTCGGGGACCGGCCATAAATTTCCATGCAGGTGTGCAGCGGGCCCCGCCGGGCTTGCACTGCTTGGACTGCCAAGATAATCGCCATAATCAGCTTCCGAGCTACCCCCAGGTGGCGCTCCAGTTTCCACCCCTTTTTTTTCGTTTCCTTTCGGCCCGCTAATTTGGTCCCGTTCGACGCACCGACCGATTCCTCTGCGCACTTCCGCGCACATGGACGCGCTGCTGGTCCTAAAGCCGGACCCAACTACCGCTCAAACCCCTCGTCGACTTTGGTCACTTGGAACAAACTTCCCCGTGGCGGCCGACCCTGCGGCCAGAGGCGCCAGAGGCCAGGGGCGGCCACGCAAAGTGTTTGCAAGTCCCTTGCAGTGGCGCGGCGGCTCCGAGAGGGCCGCGGCCGAGGCCGGGGCCCTCCACTGATCAAAGCGTCGCGGCGTCGGACAGGCGGCAAAAGTGATTGCAAGTGCCCCCGGGCTAAGCGAGGCCGCCGTCCCCGCCGTCGCCACCTCAGCGCGGCCACCTCAGACCGTCGGCCAAGGGCTGCCAGGGCCCGGCCGCCCCCGAGCAGCCCTTCGCAGCTCTAACGACACAGGCCCGAACTTGGCTACTAATAGGCTATGCAAATCTCCCCGGTGCCTCCCCCCCCCCGCCCCCTCCCCCGGGTGTCCAGCGCTACACTCCCTCATATTGCCTTAATCATATCCCGAGAATTAAGCGTGGAATGGCCTGGCCTTCCTAATTAACCACTGACGTTTCAGACGCACCCCCATTTACAGCGGGTAGCTCCTTATTAATATTTTTCTCAAAAACAAGAGCAAGATATTTTTTTTAAGCGCGCCGCTTTTGAGACTGGCTTACTTGAACAGCCGCGAAATTTCCATTGTACGAGACGGATCAGAAAATTGTAAGAGAGGCCCTGATGCCGTTGTGGCGCTGGTCGCGCCGGTCGCGCCGTCTGGCGGACTTTTTTTCAGCACGGCTTTATTCGCGGCGTTGAGCTCTCCCAGCGTGGGTGCTCCCAGCGCCACCTAGCGGAGCGGACGGGCCGCCGTCGCCACGCGGCCCTACCCCGCGCGCCGAGTCGCGGGCCGGGGCTGGCGCGTGGGGTAGCGACGGCCGCCGGACTTCCCCCAGCGCCATGCGAGATAGGCAGCCCAACGTGCACCGACGTCAACTAGTAAAAAATATGTTTAGACAGATCACTTCAACCACATCAAAGTAACCTGTCCAAATTGAGAATACCCCCTTGGTTCATCTTACTAACCTGATCAAGAAATCAACGCATTGGTCCATCACTTCTTCATCAGTAGTAACTCCCTGACTGATATTGAAACTCACATCACATGGGCCACGCCACATTTACTAGAAAAGCTTTCCTGGGCCAAGCGGCACCCATTACTGTTTACATTTTGAAACCAGGTATGAGAAATAAGTGATGCTTCAAAATAAGTTTTTCATACGAAGGATGAAAGCAGACTGGGTACAGTACCGGGAAACTACTGTAGTTTGATTTAAGTTTGAATTTGATGTAGCTTTCAGTATGGAATCAATAAAGCAATCTACAGATTTAAGTAATTTGTTTATTTCATGACAAAATAAAAATAATGTTAATAGAAATTTGAGCAATCACAGCATAATTATAAAACGATCCGTTGCCGGAGTCCGTGCTTGTCGGTCCTCTACAAAGCGCGCATTAGACGGGACAGAATTCCAAGAATAATAACAATCATAACGAAAATACGACAAAAAACAACAAGTTTTATTTAAATAAAAACAACTTAAATTAAATCTATTAGGATAAATTTATCGGCGGTACATCGCATCGGGATGCGTCGATCCGCCGATATCACAAAGAGAGCAACGCGACCAAAGCGAAGCCCGCCTTGCAAGCCTTTACTCTCCACGAAGCGTGTGTGTGTGTGTTTTGTGTACAGCATGTTTGAGTTCTGGTGTGGCGGGCGCCTGCCCGAGGGGTTCCAGGCCCCAGGGCCAGGGGATTTCGTTCGCACACTGTACTCAGAGACATACAAGTCCGACGGTTCGGTTGCGTGTGCGTTGCCGTGTTGCCAGTGTGGCCAACCCAGCCGCCACTTCAGTGCACTTCAGCCACGTCTGCCAACTCAACAGCAATGAGCGGCAGTGTCTGCCAACTTAACGGCAATGACCAATAATCGTGTTCAGCAACTTATGGCGAAGTACACGTCGCGTTGGCACGGTGTTTTGGCGCCGAACGCGCCCGTGGTCGGCATGGGGGGTCTGCGGCTAGCCGGCTGGCCCTGGGGGAGGGGGTTCGGAGGGGGGCACCTCGCCGTCGACGTTGGACCGCGCTGGCTGGCGCTAGAACTCGGACACGCCCGTCTCGTCGACGTAGTGCTGGGTGCCGGGGGGCGCGCGGTAGCCGGGGAACATGGAGTTGACCTTGTGCTGCTCGAAGAAGCTGCTGTAGTCCCGCTTGGGCAGGCGGGGCCTACACACGGGGCCCTTGGCCAGGGCCACGCGCTGGGCGTTCTCCTCGTCGGCGCGGGTCTTGTACTCCTGCGGCGGCCACTTGGCGTCACCGCGCGCGCGCACTCCGCCTGCAGCACACCAAGACCGTCACGTCAGACAAGGCAGCCACACTGGAAACAACGAGTTCTCAATCGGAGGACATTTGAGAGGTGCTGAATATCTGAGACCATTCATCAATTTGAGACCAACGCGCTCGGATTGAGAACTCGTTTTTTCAGCGCAAGACAAGTACCACACACCAAACAACATGCGCGTGAAAGCTGTAAAAACAACATTTTGGCAGAGACGGTACACAGTAAAAAGTGGCAACGGAATCTAACATGCTCCCCTCACAGAGGTGCGGGTACCTTGACGAAACGCAGCACTCTAGGGCTCTGGCTCGTAAAGGGGGGGTGTTATTTGATAGCCCTGGTGCCCCGCCACGTTTTTTGAGGACCAGACCCGTAAAATGCGAGGTTTCGTCAAGCACCTCTGTTATCGCAATGAAGGGGAAGGACGGGAGGGAATAGAGGGAGAGGTAGTGTCGAGTCTGCGTGCCAATGTGCAGTGTAAAAGAAGTTAAGTCAAATAATTTGATTGGCTTTCTCAGGAATGTCATTTGGACTTGGACAGTTCCCTATGGATTTTTCACTAATACTTGTACGGTGAAGTCAAAAGAACTAAAACTAAGAGTGTTCCGTCGATTTGACCTAACTTCTTTTACAGTGCTGCTCGGCGGCCTACGGGTGCTGCAAGCTGTCCCGCGTGAAGCGACTCGAGTCTGTTCTGGCATTAAGTCGTGCTGTCGAAGCGCCTCTACTTAGTCTCCGCAATCGGAAAGTCGTCGATGCAAGGTTGGCAATGCGTTGCCAGGGCCGAGCCGCCCTGCCAGCAGACTGATTCCGAGAGCGGCAGCACTCAGGCTGGGGCTGAGTGGAACATCTTGTCCCGGCGAGAAGCTTCCCCGCTGGCAACTCTCTGCGCCTCTCTCGCTGGGCCTTGGACCCTGCGGTCTGCGCGCGATCCGCCAAGTCCAAAGCGGCTCTGCCGTGCCCTGCAGTGTGCTGCCGGCCGGTGGCCCGTGGGGTTGGCGGCACTGAGTGGACGGCCGCCAACCACCAAAACACGGAAAACATGGCCGTCGCAGCTACACTGCGTTACTGTCAGGAAGCTCAAGAGACGTGCACTAATATTTTTGTGGAGTTTAGAAGTCGGGCTCATCCATGTATTAAACTATTTTTAAAACATGTCGCAGTTTCATTTTACGTTATAAAAAAAAATAACAGGAAGTTCGAAAGTTTTTTTGCGAGGCGTGAGGCAGTTAGTACTGCTAATGATGCAGAAAACCAAGCAAGCCCTTGAAAGCTTGTAATTGTCAGCGCTCGGCAGACTAGACCAAGGCAGCCCGAATCAACCATGGTGGGCTTTGTCAACGCGTAGCAGACTCTGTCAGCGCTAGGCAGCCGGGTGTCAGCGCTAGACGGCCAAATGTCAGCGCATGGCAGCCTTTATCAGCGCATGGCAGCCTCTGTCAGCGCTAGACGGCCAAATGTCAGCGGATGGCAGCCTCTGTCAGCGCTAGGCGGCCTGGTGTCAGCGCATGGCAGCCATTGTCAGCGCATGGCAGCCTCTGTCAGCGCTAGGCGGCCTGGTGTCAGCCCGCTTCAGCATTGCAGCCCTAGGCTTGGCGCCGGGTCACCTACTCTGCCTCACAATAGGTTCATCCAGTTTTGCTAGAGGAACCTCAAAAGCGATCGTCTCTGGAATGATTTCGACGACTTCGGGCGGCCACTTGAGATCTCCCCGGTTCTTCGCGGTGACGCCTGCACATGACATAAAATACCGTCAACTTTTTTGGAAACCTCCGCGAGAGGGAATTTAGCGCCGTTTAGACTTTGATCTAGGCAAACTAACAGAAAGTACTTGAGATACCACCTGGGCAACGTTAACGTACGGGTAGGTTTGGGCGTTCCGGGGTTGGGCGAGACCGAGGTGGAGTTGGTCCGGCTAAGGTGGCCGTTCTGGAGGGCCGGAGTGCTTTGTTCTGACGCACAACAGAGACATTCAGATCACCCTGTCCGCCCTACAAGTTTTTAACTGGCGTTTAAATTTACATTATTTGTCGTTCGTGTGTCTGGGCGGGAGCTAAGCATTTGAGTGCGTCGGATGCGGGGCAAGAGAGATAGAGAAAGACACACATAAACGGAAGAAAGGATAGGAAGTGGATGAAATGATACAGTATGTACAATTCGTTGCCACCTTCCTGCTGGGCTCTGGCCAGAATGGAAACGCTCAGTCAGCCAAGCGAGAAGAAAGAGAGAACGGAATTCATTATATCAGACAACAAACAACATATATTTAGAGGCCTCTCCTCGTCGCAAACGGTGAGAGACAAACGGGCTTTGTGCACAGTGAGATGAAAATCAGAAACTTAGTTCAAGTTTCAACACCCGCCGTTTTTTTAGTTAACTCCCACAGTCAGGCCGAGGTCACGCGAGGCATAGCGCCTGGCAGGTAAGCCGACCCGTTACGCACGCGTGCGTTGCGGGCCGGCCTACCCGCACGGCGCCTGGCGGGCAGATCGGCCGGCAGTGGGCCAGAAGACCGGTAGAGGCGGCCAAGACCCTCGACGCGTTTTGAGCTCCAGAGTCGCTAAACAGGACTCGAACCGAACGTGTGACCCCACCAATGGATTCCTCGTTCGGAGAGCAATCCATTGGTGGGGTCACACGTTCGATCCGAGTCCCATTAAGCGCCTCTGGAACTCAAAACGCGTCCGGGGTTTCGTCCGCCACCACCGGTCTTCTGGCCCACTGTGCGACCCTCGCCGCTGGCGTCGGGGCGGGGCGGGGCGGGGCGGCGAGCCCTACCTTGCATTCTGGCGGTGGCTGGCTGCGACACCACGACGGGGGCGGGCTCCTGGTGGATGGGCGGCGACTGCCGGAGGCTGATGATGGTGGGCGGCGGCGTCCAGGCGGGCGACCGGCGGGTGCGGTCTCTGGACGCGGACCTTCGGTGCGGCGGCGGCGTCCGCGGCGTCGTCTGCTGGGGCTGCTGCTGCTGGACGGGCTGCCGGCCGGGCCTCGTCACTTGCTGGGCGTACTGGGGCGACGGACTGGCGAAGCCGTTGGTGGCGGGGGCGGCCTGCGGGGCAACGCGTCGCTTAGCAACGGAATGGCGCCCCTGGTCGTCTCGTCGGACGGTCACTTCGACGATGATTGTCCGAAGAAATGAGACGTTTGGATCGTGACTCTCTCCCTGAGCCACCCGACTTACCTGTGCATACACCGGCTCCTGCTCTCCGTCCTCTACGTCGTAGTCCTCCAGTGGTGGCGGCCAGGTCACTTTCTTCAAACCTGTCGGGCAAGAATCACACCATTTCACTCTGGGCGCCGCTCCACATGACGCTGTTGGTCCCCCTTTCCCCCTCCACTTTCGCTGCGTGCGTTTATGTCATCTCTCTCACACACATCATCAGACACCGCAAAAAAAAAGAAAGATAAACAAACAGACTGAGTGCAGTGAGAAGCGAGGGGGTAATTGAAATCCACAGCACAGGTGACCCGTAGTTGGCAATACTGCAGAAATTTTGCGGCAATCCAACGGTAACCCGGTGCAATCCAAGGGTAATCCTGGAAATTTTTTAAATTTAATTCGGCGGTAATCCACGCATAATCCGTACGTAATCCGGCTGGCACGAGATTTGCCAGTCGTTTCTCCCTCGGTGAAAACAGACCGTGTCGCGCGCCAGGTGTAAATAAGGCCGGGGCCTTGTCTCGTATTTCAGGCGCGGCCGGCAGATGCACAGTGGGCCAGAAGACCGGTGGAGGCGGCCAAAACTTCAGAGGCGTTTTGAGCTCCAGAGTCGCTAAACTGGACTCGAACCGAGCGTGTGACCCCACCAACGGATTCCTCGTTCGGAGAGCAATCCATTGGTGGGGTCACACGTTCGGTTCGAGTCCCATTTAGCGACTCTGGAGCTCAAAACGCGTCCGGGACTTTGACCGCCTCCGCCGGCCTTCTGGCCCACCGTGAGATGGCGCTGCGCCTTGCTGCGCTGGCACGGCGGCCGAACGCGCAGAGCGGGGTGGAGAGGCGCACAGGTGGCGGCGGCCATCTGAGCGCATCGAGAACCTGCAGACCGATTCCGAGAGTCGTTTTCGTCGCTCCGTCTCTCTCGCTCCTGCACGGCGCGCCCTTCGAGTGCGAGAGAGACGGAGCGACGACTCTCGGAGTGAGTCTGCTGGCGGCGGACCGGCGGCCTTCCGCGGCCTTCTAAATATAATGCACAAAGCCGCGGCGCGTGGCGCACTTTAAGCTGCGAATAACAACATGCAGGGCGCCGCCAGTGTCGCCCCGTGATTGGCCAGAAAACGATGCAATCGGGGTGCCAACCTCAGCCAAGCTCAGCCAACCCCGAGAGAAGTGCTCGTGAGGGGCAACCACTATCCCACTATCCCCAGCACCGGCAACACGGAACTGACCCAGGACTCCGGTCGGATCGTCGGGCTACGGCCGCGCCACTTCCTATATCCGGCCTCCAGCGCGGGAGATCTGGCGCCCGGTAACAGCCGCGGTCTCTTTCTAAATCAGACTTTTCGCTCTGACCGCGTGTTCGAACCGCTTCGAGAGCTCGAACGCATTCCGCTGCGCCGCAACGACTCTCGGAATCAGTCGTTTTCGTCGCGCTGTCTCTGTCGCACTCATGGGGCGTCCCGTATAGGTGCGAGGGAGACAGAGCGACGGAACGACTCTCGGGATACAGGTGCCCGTCGGCCGGTCGGCAGGGACGCCTCGTCGGCCTCGTCTGAAAGAAATCCTCGAGGCCGAGGTGGATTAACAACGAAGCCCTTCAGAGGGTGAGTCGGCGCTGAGGTCAGCGCGTTGGCACCACTGCCGTGTTGTTCCTTCAGACAACGCCGCCTTCCATCGCCGTATCGCCGAGGGCATCGGCGCGAAAAATGTCCCGCGGAACGCTCGCGTAACGTCTTCCTACGCACGTGGCACAGTGGGCCAGAAGACCGGTGAAGGCGGCCAAGGCCCTCGACGCGTTTTGAGCTCCATGAGTCGCTAAACAGGACTCGAACCGAACGTGTGACCCCACCAATGGATTGCTCTCCAAACGAGGAATACATTGGTGGGGTCACACGTTCGGTTCGAGTCCTATTTAGTGACTCTGGAGCTCAAAACGCGTCCGGGATTTTCACCGCCTCCACCCGTCCTCTGCCCCAGTGCACCGCCTAGTGAGCAGGCAACCCTGCACCGTGGGGGGAAGGTTCACCTCCTTGTGTGCAGCAGCGGTGAGATCACCGGCAGAATCAATTTCGGAGCCCCCTCCCTCGAGGGCCGTGGAGGCCGCGGCGTGCCAAGCAAGGCCCGCGGGGTGGACGCAGACACGCGTGCCAGACACGCATGACAGGCCCGCTTGTCACGCCGATGTGACGCGCGGCGCGCGGACGCGACGCTCGGATTCGCCGCGCTGCTCAAGAAGACCCCCGACCGCCTGACTGACTGACTGGTTCCACAAGGCGTCGCTCTGTCTCTCTCGCCCTCTCGGGGCGCACGTAGGTGCGAGAGAGACAGAGCGACGCCCGATCGGAGACTCCAAGGCGCTAATGATGGCCCAGCTGTCGACGCCTGCCGCCGGCCGGCAAGTCGGCACCCGGTTGACGGATGACGGCGGTCGGGAAAAACGAGCGCGGAAAAACTCGATCGAGTATCGACAGGCCGGCGCGACAAAACGAGTGCACGCCCCGCCCTGCCCCGCCACGCCACGCCACGCCCCACCACGCCACGCCGCGGTGCAGTCGACGCCGACGCGTGTTTTGCTTTCGTAACGCAAAACGGGGCACCGCTAAATTTAGCGGACGGAAAGTGAGACGCGGGCCGGAATAAGGCGGCCGTTTCCGCGAAAAAGTCCCGAAACCGCGAACCGAGTAAAAAAACCGCGAGTTCAAAAACCGCAAGTCCCGAAACCGCGAGTCAAAAAAACCGCGAGTCAAAAAAACCGCGAGTACCAAAACTACGAGTCCTGATACCGCGAGTCAGAACCCATAAGTGACAAACCCGTGAGTGGAAAAAACGGCGAGTCATGGCGTGGGCAGCGCCGCGGTCGCAGACGGTCACTAAACGGTTTTGATGATTCATCGAGTCGCCGCTTGAGACGTCGGCGTCGACGCCGCCACCGGTCGCCCCCCGCGTCACAGAGCCACAGAGCACCGCGTCTATGAATGACGTCACCGCGCCGACCAGAATGGACCAGCTGCATCCTCCGGAGCGGTGCCGGAGCGGTGCCGGAGCGGTGCCGGAGCGACGTCGCGAACGCACCCCTGGCCCTTACCTGCGCTAGGTGTGTTCCAACGCGACGAGGACCCGCGCGCCGGTTTTGGGGGAACGACTACTCGCGTCTGCAGATACCTGAGCGCCGACGCGGGGTCCTGGCCTCAGGAATAGACCCCCTCTCTCTCCGTGCCCGGCCCCCACCACCGCGGACCCCCTTCAGCCCACCCCCACGGCCCACCCCCTCCCCTCCTCGGGTCCGCGGCGCGTAGGCGGCCCGCGACAAGAGACGGGGCGAATAGGAGAACGCACCCCTTAGTACGCGACGACACGAGTATACAGCGTAACTATAGCGGTTTGCCACAGGCACTAGAAAGCCACAAAAAAGAAAACCACGTCAACACTCCGACTCCCAGAGCTACGTGCGATCCAAGTAGCGCCAGCACAGAGAAAAGACACGGAAGGAAACGCCTAAAAATAACCACGTAGAATGTCAACCACACTTCAACCCCAACAAAAACAACAACAAATCAAACGAGGGATAGTAGTTCACCAAATCAATTACAATAACAACAGTCCTAGTTTGGTATCCAACATTGAAGGTGAGGAACCATGCAAGGGGGCACACCGGAGGTAACACTGGGAGGGTGAAACCAGGGGGTAACACTAGTTGGGTAACACCAGAGGGCTGACACTAGGGGGCAACACTAGAGGGGTAACACCAGGAGGGTAAAACCAAGGGGTTGAAACCAACACTAGGGGAACACCAAAGGGGTAACACTAGGAGGGTAAAACCAAGGGGGTGAAACCAGAGGGTAACACTAGGGGGTAACTCTAGAGGCGGAAACTCTAGGAGGTTAACACCAGGGGGTAACACCAGGGGGTAACACCAAAGGAGCAACACCGCGTTACCTGTTGCGTTGACGGGCAGAGGGGGCAAGGTTCGGAGCTGGGCCTCCACGGGGACAAAGCTTCTCCTCGGGGGCCACTCAAACTGGGCGCGCCGTCGGGGCTCGAGGCGGCCAGTGAACGACTGCGGATCTTTGGGGCACAAGACACAACAAGCATGTTCACGCTCGAGGAAACTAGTTTATCCTTATCCAAAAAAACTACTTAATTTAAATTTTTTTTAAAAAAAAAACAACCTCTGGTTGGTTTAAGAAAAAACAAAATTAAAAAAAAAAAGATTGCACAAAAAAATGCTCGAGTTTAGGAAGATGATTCTAGTTTCAAAGACATATTTTTAAAAAAATACTGCTGCTTTTTTGCACATTCTTCTGCATTTGACTTTTTTCCCCATCAGGGTGCATTCGAGGTGGTGAACATATTGTTGGGAGTGAATCCAGGTGCTGGACTGACTTCCACTTCGAATTAGACGTTCGCATACGACACAACGGGACGATTAGTAGTGGGTGGGTGGCCAAGACATACAAGCTGGGGAGGTGACCTACGACCAGGCACTTTACAGTAACTTTTTTTTTTTATCGGAACTTAATAGAGGGGCGTCCTTGGCGCGTCTGGCTGGGCAACGGATGAGAGTGTCCCTGTATTTTTATCCTAGCTGCGTGATATACTTCAACCTTAACCACGCGAATAGTCGCCGGGCCGCGCAAAGCCCGCGAAACCAAAACAATGCGGCGTGTGTGGCACACTGTGGGGGCTTATTTATCGGTCCCCGAATAACCAGCAGGCATGCCGTCAAGGACGCGCTGGAGACGAAGAAGAAGAAGGAGAAGAAAAAGAAGGAGAGGGAGGATCAAAGTAACTCCGAGTTTTATGCACTCGGTACAATGGGGTGTTGCAAACACTTAATTACCCGTGGACTTCAAAGGCGGCCCCTTCGAAGCCGTAAGGACTAAAAGTCAATTAGTTTTCCTTCACTTTGTACTTTTTTCGTTCTTTTTTTTCTGTTTGCAGTGTCGCGATCCTCATAGCTGTTTAGCCGCGTTGGACCGTTCCAAGGAAAATGTTGCGGGCGACAGAAAAACGCGCCCGGGCTCCGTGCCAGGCGCCAGCGCTGCCGGGCCGCCTGGCGTCGCGGGGATGAAAAGTGTGAAGAGGAAGGTTGGAGGGGAAATCGGAAGAAAGAAAAACAAGACGACGAAAAAGGGGCGTAAAGGAGGCAAAATTGACTTCGGCCTTCGAGTCGTGAAGCTCGGCAGCGGTGAGCCGCGGAGAGACTGATTGGAAACACACGCCCGGGGGGGGGGGGGGGGGGTGCAGTCGTTACAGTGGCGTGCTTTCCGAACAGCGGCCCAATCAAAAACGGGGCAGTTTGCGGCGCCCTTCATCTTAGGGCCTGCACTGCAAGTTATGTTTAGAAGCAAGGTGCACACATTTCAAGTGGAATGCACCGCATCGGGGGCGGGGCGGGGCGGGGCGACAGCCAGGGGGTCGGAGACGGGCGCCCACCCGAAGTGACTCGCCGTTGTATTTCGGGTGCTTGATGGAGGAGGGCTGGCTGAGTGAATTGCTTTGTCACCTGGATTGTTCTGGACATGCACCAAACGTGCGCACCGCCTCTTTGGCCGGGCGCCAGGGCCGGCCAGGGCGGCACCCACTGGGGGAGGCCTTTCTCGAACCTACGTGTGTGTCAGAGAGAAAAGGAGAGAGAAGATGTCCACCGTGTCATCGTCTTCTGCGCGATACCAGCGTGTGCTTCAGACGGCGTAGTCACTCTGCCTTTCTATCTCGCTCGCACTTCTTCAGCTCGCGTGCCGCGGTGGTGCGCCCCTTCGAAAAGGCCAAAGCCCCAAAGAGAAAAGAATCGAAGCTCAAAATAGTAGAACAATAGCGTGGGCCTTATCTTCCAGTCGCGTCGTGCACCCAACACTAAACTTGAGGCATATTGTCACATTTTTTAGCGACTGGCTTCTTCTTTTGGCTAATACGTTTTCTGGCCTTTGGTGCCTTCGGCTCTCGAAATAACCGCAACGTCAGCCTGCCCAGCAGACTGGTCCCATCGCTCTGTCTCTCTCGCACCCATGCGGGGCGCCCCGTGAGTGCGAGAGCGACAGAGCGATAACACGACTCGGACTCGATCAGTGTGCGGGGCAAACGATGGTCCGCGGAATGCGCCCTGGAGACGCGAGACACGTAGTCCGCCACCTCGCCAGAGACACGATTGTCGGAACGGCCCGGCGCCCACACTGGGAAATCTATTTCGGATGGCCGACTGTAATTGGCGTGCAGGTAACGGTGGAAGGGAGGCTTCGCTGAGAACGCCTCGCGACCCTTGGCATTCCTGGCGCGCCACGGTGCCCGCACCCCGCCCCGCCCCACCCGCCCCGCCCCGCAACACCCCACCCCACCCCACCCCGCCCCGCCACGCTCCGCTTCGCTTCGGGGTGCGATTTTTGACGAGGAGAACCCCCCACGAGGCGACGGCCCGGGCCCAGCAGCAGCTTGTACACTGCAAAGCGTCGAAATTTCTAGTGTCTAGAAAACGGCGAGCTACTAGACCTATTCACAGTGCAGCGGGGCCGGCGATGTCTCGAATGTGATGAGCGCAATGCGGAGAAATCCGTCTCCATGCCCACACCCTCACCCCCCCCCCCTCCACACACACACACATACACACACACGTGTGGGGCACGCACACAGACAGACACCTCGATACCACCCAAATTGACTCAGCCGCGCGGGTCAGTGCCTCGACGGGCGGCCACGGCCAGGGTCACGCGACGGCATGTGGCGGCACGGCCCGTCTGGGGTGCTCTGGGTCTGGGACGGTCTGGGACGCCGTCTGTTTGTTGTCAAGCCGTGGCCGTGGCGCGGCCGTGGCCCTATCTGGGTATCTGGCCGGGCCTGGGCCGGGCCTGGGCCGGGCCAAGCCAAGGTCAGCCGGTGTCAGTGTGCCGGTGTACTGCATCGCACTGCATCGCACTGCATGCACCTCGCGTGTCGCAAGAACGAGTCCAACGCCCCGCCGGGCCGCCGGGGTGGTCCGTGGGAAGGGGGAGGGCGGAAAAGGGGGGGGGGCAAGCAGCTACGCGGTAGAGAGGCGTATCTACAGTGTAGCGTCCCCCCCCCCTTTTTGCCGAAGAGGTGCAGCACGTGGATTCCACTGTCTAAGTTGTCTATGCGGATTACTAAAAGCGGTTTCGTCGCTCTGTCTCTCTCGCACTCACGGGGCGTCGCGTATAAAGCACTGTATACGTACGGAATCAGACAGCCATGCACTCGAAAATCCGTATAAAAATCACATCAAAGAGGACAAGGACCACCAACAGCACAAACTCCACGAACAATAACGGCACCCCCAGCACGACCATCACCATCGCCACCAGCAAGATCACCATCACCACCTGCAAGATCACCATCACCACCACCACCAGCCCCACCGCGCCATGCCTCTTCTTTACCATGTCGCCGCCTTGGTGCCGCTGCGGTGCCGCTGCGGTGCCGCCTCCCCTAGAACAGCTCGTCCTCGAGGTCCTCGTCGTCGTCCGCGTACGGCCGCTCGTACTGGCCGGTGAGGTAGGCGACGCTGGGGTCGTCGTGGATGAAGTCGCTGTACTCGCTGACGCTGCTGGGCGACAGCTCCGTCACGGCCTTGATGAGCATCACCTCGACGCAGCACACCAGGAAGATGATGGCCACCAGGGCCAGGTTGTTCTCCTCGGGCACCGTCAGCATGTGCTCGGGCGTGAGCATGGCGTCCATGGTGAAGGCGCGCATGGCGGCGGCCAGGCCGGTCACCGCGGCTCGCCGAGAGTCGCCGTGTCGTTCACCTTCCGAAGCAAAACGATAATGAGACTTCTGCGCACCGCGTCTCGCTCGGCTCCAGTTTTATAAATAGGCGACGGGACACTGTGCGGCCGGAGATTCGAACTGGGGGCAGATTAGGCGGCCGTTCATGACCACCTTACCATTTTCAGGGGAAAAAAGGGGGTGTTGACCTACGTGCTTTCGTTCGAGGGGTCTTTTACTTCTTGCACTCATTGTACACGCCCCCACCCCAAAAGGCCGCCTCTGGATCCGCCACTGTGGCTGAATCCACTGGGAAACTCGCTTTTACACTCAGACTCAATTGACGATGCACTAACAGTGTCGCAAGCGAACCATGACCGCGCTCAAATGGGCGAGCGGTTGACCCGCACTCGGCTGCTTTCAAGTGAACCCCAACCTTCGCAGCGGGAGTCCAAAGAGCTTGCGGTGTGCCCGAGGCGCTTGCCCGGCGGCCACCTCAAAGCAGGTGTCTCACTCTGTCTCTCTCGCACTTTCGCGGGACGCCCCAAGAGTGCGAGAGAGACAGAGCGACGAGCCTGCGGCAGCGACTCCAGGCCGCACAGTGGGGCAGAAGACAGACGCCGGCGGCCAAAACTCTAGACGAGTTTTGAGCTCCAGAGTCGCCAAACAGGGCTCGAATCGAGCGTGCGACCCCACCAATGGATTCCTCGTTCGGAGAGCAATCCATTGGTGGGGTCACACGTTCGGATCGAGTCCCATTTAGCGACTCTGGAGCTCACAACGCGCCTGGGACTTTGACCGCCGCCACCGGTCCTCTGGCCCACTGCGGGCCGCGGCGGGCCGCCGGCTGGAGTCCTGACGCAAGGCGCTGCGAGGCGCGAGGCAGTGAAAGGATGCCTGACGTAACGGGGGGCGTCGCTACATAATGGGGCCCTGCAGCTGCAGCGCGGCGCCGCGGCGGCACGGCACTGGGTAAGCGGGTAAGCAGGCCACCGGGCACGGCTGTCAAGGTGAGGCCAGCCGTGAGGCACCAAGCGCCACGCCGGGGCGCCGGGTTCGAGTACCGCCGTCCACCGGGACACACACTGGTAGAACTAAAGCGCAGCACACCCCAAAAAAGACGTTTCTTGAACCACGAAAATTTACTTGTGTAGCGAGGAGACAACCACATTGGATGTTTGGGGACACAAGATTTCTTTAGGCTAAAGAGTTCGTCGGATTTCACAAGATCTTAACCGATATTACGCCCGAAATTTGCTTGTTTTTAGCCTTTTTGGGGCAAGATTTCAGATTTCAAGACAGAGACAGAGCGACGAAACAACGACCTTTCGGCGTCTCTTGCCTTTGTCTGGTTCGGAATCGGGGCGACAATTAGGGGAGCCAAGGCTAGCCGAGGAGCCAACACCTTCTTTCACGTACGCACACACACACACACACACACACACACACACACACGCGCACGAAGGTCCCTGAGTCGCAAGGCTGCGGTTGCAAGTACGGCCCGCAGCTGTTGAATCCCATCCGCATGACAAGGCGCCGTTGTTACGTATGGCCGGTGGCAGCATGGCAGCAGCACTGGTCCCATTCCGAAGCAGTCGCTCTGTCTCTCCCGCGCCCTTACGGAACGCGCCATCGGGGCGCGAGAGAGACAGAGCGACGAAAACACAGCCTAAGGCCAACCCACGCAGTTGGCAGCACTGAACGCGGTCACACTCACTTCGCCTTCCCGCCAAATTGCCGCGCGCGGAGCGGCCAAGTCAAGCCGGGGTGGCGCGAACTCCCGCGTGGAGTATCGCCGCGTGGAGTGCTCGTCGGGGCCGGTGGACGAGTGTCACTGCGTGAACTCGCGACGTGGAGTATCGCCGCGTGGAGTATCGCCGCGTGGAGTCTTGCGTGGATTAGTCGTTGAGGCCGATGGAGGAGAGTTGGCGACGAGTGTCACTCGCAGGGTGGAGTATCGCTGGGTGGAGTATCGCTGGGTGGAGTCCTCGTCGACGGGAGTGGAGTTGGCGGAGAGTTTCGCGGGCGCGGGAGCCAAAAGTGCGTTGGCGCGAGGTGGACGTAGTGTTGCACCTGCACTTGCACTTGCAGTGTGTCGACACTGAAAGGCGACTCGGACAGACTCGGCCCGGAACGTGCGTCCGCGAAGACGAAGCACGTGCAACTGAATGGGCAGGCAGACAGGCCGGGGCCGGACGGGCCGGACCCAGACGCAGCGGCAAGCGCGGCAAACGCCCGCGCCCCCCTCCCCCTAACGTCACGCAGTCACGCCACTCCAAGCGCCCCTCTCTCTCCCCCTCCCTCTCCGAGGCCGCGCGCTGCAGTGCAGCACGCTCCAGCGGCCGGCCCAGCCAGGTCCAGCTGGAGCGAGCCGGAGCGTTACGTCATGAGGCGTGCGCGGTTGTTGAACTCCAGGGGACTCCAGGGCACTGTGCTCCAGGCGCCTCACTCGCAAGGAACGCGTTCGAACGTGTGACCCCACCAATGGATTGCTTTCCGGACGAGGAATCCATTGGTGAGGTCACACGCTCGGTTCGAGTCCTGTTCAGCGACTCTGGAGCTCAAAACGCGCGTCTCGTGTTATGGCCGCCTGCGCCCGTCCTCTGGCACACTATGCAGAGGGCGCTGGCTGGAGGCTACTGGCACACTGACCACGCCGCGAGCTAGCCCAGAGCAGAGTCTGCGGAGCGCGAAGCAGTGCGTCAGCGACGTCAAAGAGGTGGCACGAGTCCGAGTCGCCGGAGGCGGGTCGCGTGAGACTGCAAGATTCCGGCAACCCTGCGAAACAGCCGCCCGACTTCAAACTTTCGTTGCTCCGTCTCCCTCGCACTCGTGGGGCGCTCCGGAGGGGTGCGAGAGAGACAGCGCGCCGTTCGGAATCCAGACGTCTGTCGCCGTTCAACATCGTGAAAACGTATGGTCAAGTTTGCAACCGTAAGAAATTGTGAAAATTGATGGGGAAGTTTTAGTGTACTGCTGTGCGTCCACCATGAAGTGTTGCGACGTGTGGCGAAATTCTTCATTTTGTTTACTAATTGTTCACTGTGTTAGGTTAGGCTGCATTTTGATCACTGCGCTGCATGAAGAGTGTTTGCTGAAAATTTGAAGTCTTGCTCCCCCTGCCTTCACCATTTCACCACGAGTCGGAATGACTGCGCATGACGCAGGCAAATGCATGGCCGCCCCGTGCCCCACGGCCATGGAGAATAACCCCTCGAGTGTTCTCCGTCGTGCCTTGGATGCCCTCGAGGAGCGAAGAGATATTTTTGCAAAAAAATACATATAGCTAGCTTTATCATTTTTTTAATATTTGCCCATGCAGGGCCGAGCAGTGTCGTGTTGAGTGTAGTCCGTGCCCACACTGGTGAAACAAAGGCATAAAAATTATGCCCTTAAAGGGCGTAAACGATTTACGCCCTTAAAGGGCATAAATCGTTAATGCCTTTGAGAAGGGCATTAAAATTTTGCTTGAAATTCCCATACCATTCGCGCCCTTCCCAAGGGCATAAAACGATTTATGCCCTTGCAAGGGCGTAAAAGAGCATTTATGCCCTAAAGGGCGTAATTTTTATGCCTTTGTTTTACCAGTGCAGCCCTACGCTTCGCAGGCGCGGATCCAGGGGGTGATTACCCTCTGCTAAGACGGCCGCCTAGAAGGCCACTACAATATGGTACATTTTCGCCATAATATGGAGAATCTTCACTGTACAACATTTAGAGTGTTATTGGACCCCCGCCTCGCAAAAATCCAGGATCCGCGCCCGCCACTTCGCCCCTGGACGAACTCGGCCGTCGTACTCACTGGGTTCCATGCCCTGCTGTTGCTCCTGCAGCATGCGCTGGACTGCGGTGTTCGAGTTAGCAGGGCCTTGCTTCAGGTTGGAGGGCGATCTGCAACAACAGGGCCAATCATCATTCCCCAAGAAGAAGAACAACAACAAAAAATTGGCGCGATTGGCGGTTGACGTCAAGTATGGAAATGATGCGGTGTGTTTACCGGCGCGCGCGTTTGGCTGTCTTTCTTATTTGGACCAGTTGCCTGACCTTGGCGCCGCAAGGGCGACGGACCATAGGGAGGCAACCTGCCGTTTTCATCGCTCTGTCTCTCTCGCACCCATAGGGCGGGCACCCCACGAGTGCGAGAGAGATAGAGCGACGACTCTCGGAATCAGTCTGGGGCGCCCCTAGAGCGCGGTGGGCGCCGGCGAAACAGTTAATTTAAATTTAGGCCCGTCCCTTGAAGGCCCTGAAGGCCACGGCTAACGCCCGGCGGCCCGGCGTCGTGCTCGATCATTGTCCGCGTCAAAATAATCCCCGGTGCAGCTGTGCCCACTGTAAATCGTGCACACGTTTCCGTCGCTAAAGACAGAAAACACGGAGGGAGAGTCATAACCAGGATATATACCTTGGGTCATCACTACCATCATCTCTACCATCATCATCATTACCACGACCACCACGACCACCACGACGACGACGACCACCACCACCACCACCACCACTCAGTGAGAATGGAATTCTGCCACTCAAATTTGGACGCTAAAATATTCTCACCCCGTCTCACCCAAATTTGTGTGCATGAGAAAGTAATGGCTAGCCCCAAAATACGAAACTAATCGAGATTCTTCCATTCTCAGTGTGACGGCAAATGAACAAGTTCTTGTTCGCACCAAGTTGCATGCCGATGGGACAAAGTGTGGGCGAGGCTTGCGAGGCTCCATCAAACCGGCCGGAGCGTTTTATCGTCTTTATCTCGGTCCGTTGTCCCGCGGGTAAACCCGCACTGGCGAGTGACCGCGGCACCGCGGTGGTCGTCTGGAACTTCTGGAACGCGGTGCACGGCAACGCCTGCAGGCCGATTCCGCCGTCTTCTCGCTCTGTCTCTCTCGCACCCTAGCAGGGCGCCCCACGAGTGCGAGAGAGACAGAGCGACGAAAGCAGAGCAGTCTGCGACTGGCGACAAAAAAGACGTGCATCCTTTCGTTCTTTCCATTCCCACGGCTTCGTCGGCAACAAAGTGCACAAAGTCTGCATAAACGTTGAGGGAAATGGCAGACACCTTGATACTCAAGGAACACGAAACACTCGTGAAGGAGTCAAACAAGTCAAGATGACGTCAATATGACTGTCCAATTGACTAAAACTTTGACTGTACATCAGTCATAGCCAGTGAATGACGTCGTTTGACGTCATGGTGAGATTTTCGCGGCATTTCTTGTTCTTAGGGTGGCCTGATCAGACGCTGGCCCTCAGTCCTTCAGGAAGCGAGCCGCAGACTGATCCCGAGGAGCCGTCTCGTCGCTCTGTCTCTCTCGCACGCACGGGGCGTGCCGGCGTGACGTGGGCGTGCGAGAGAGACAGAGCGACGAGACGGCTCAGTGGGTCACCGTGCCACGAAGCGCCACGCGGTGGTCGGCCACTAGGTTGCCACTGGGGCGCCGCCACCCTCAAGGCCCAAGGCCTCGCCCTGACTCGCTCCGCCTCTCTCGCACCCACACGGAACGCCCACGAGTGCGAGAGAGACAGAGCGACGATGCGAATCGCTCTGCTGCGCGCGTGATGCTGCCAACGGCTACTTTGTCCACAGGTTGGGCCTGGGGCGGGCCTGGGTCGGGCCTTGGCCGCGTCAGTACGTCGGTAGTTTAACTTGAGGCAAACTGTTATTTCGGGCCCTCAAGTGGGTTATTCTGGGGCCGAGACGTCAGTGTAATCAGAGGCGCCATGGATCGCCTTCGCGGAAACGGAACAACGCGGACGGCACCTCTCGGGTGGGACGTTCCGATAAAGTCTCGGTGTGCCAACACTCTAGACGCGTTTTGAGCTCCAGAGTCGCTAAATGGGACTCGAAGCGAACGGGTGACCCCACCAATGGATTGCTCTCCGAACGAGGAATCCATTGGTGGGGTCACACGTTCGGTTCGAGTCCCACTTAGCAACTTATTTGGAGTTCAAAAGGCGTCTAGAATTTTGGCCGCCTCCACAGGTCTTCTGGCCCACTGTGCAGCAGTCTGCCTTTGTCCTGCGGAAGAGCTTCTCATCGCAGACTCATTCCGAGAGTCGTTTTCGTCGCTCTGTCTCTCCTGCCGCACTCGTGGGGCGTGGCGCAAACGACTCTCGGAATCAGTCTGCAGGTGTCGTAACACGGCGACGCGTCGAGCTGATGAACTACGCGTCCTGGGAGAGCCACTCGTGGGAGCCGTGTCGCGGCGGACCCTAAAACCCTAAAACGTCACACTGCCAGAAGAAATATGCGGCCTGAGAATACACTAGCCGGCGGGTAGCGATGCGTTACTGCCCAAAGGCCATCGGGAGGGTGTCAAAAATGCAGTCGGGAAGTGGAGACAAAGTAGGCAAAAACAATCCCACGATGCATGAGCGTGGAAAGTGTTACCTCAGCCTGCCACTAGACAACATCTTGGTTTCAGCCCTGCCATTGGGCAACATCTTGGTTTTAGCCTGCCATTGGGCAACATCTTGACTTCCCTATCGAGAAGTTGCCTAGTAGGCAGGGTAGAGTTGGCAACCCTCTTGTCACTCGTGCATAATGGTGTTTTTTGAGTGGCAGCACTGCTCGCCAACTCATCGAGAGTGAAGCACAGATAGTGGGTTGGCAACCCTTTCGTGGGGAGTTTTGCCTTCTTACAATGCAAATGCAACACTGTGCGCGAGCGACATGCGCATGGGACTTCCCTGTGACACGTGCCGACACGTGCGCACGCCAGGCGACGTCGCGTCAAGGTCACGTTTTCTCTCGCCTACAATATACACATTGCGCGCGCCCCTCCCGCTATCGCTGGACCAACAAGGGCCGGGCAAATTGTGTTTTCCATTTTTTTAAAAATTAAAAACAAAAATTATTTTTCTGGAATCATTCTTAAACAGTGAGAAAGGTGGCTGGGTCATTGACTATTTTTTTGTCATTTTTTGGTTTCTTAAAAAAAACATGTTTTTCTATGTAGAAAATGTCTGGTAGAAGCCGGGTGATCACAACTCCATTTTCAACCTCAAATAGTCGACGCGTGAAAGGTAAGCAATCGAAAGCCTTTCCAAGGATCTGGGAGCCGTTCTGTCCCTGGACAGCGGCAGAACGGTGCACGGCGCGTTGCCAGTGGCATGCCAGAGGCAACGCCGTGCTGTCACCTGTCACTCGGTACTCACCCTCTCCATCCGTACTCCATGGTCACTGTCGGAATCCGCAATCGAATCGGAAACAGATCGGTCGCTGCAGCGATTTCGGGGTGCGCGCGCGTCGCGATACTGTTCGATTATTCGATTTGTTTTTTTCGTCGGAACCGTCGGACTCGTTCGAAAACTCCCAAGAGAGTCTAAGGTGTTCGCAAGATCGCTTGAGAGCGGGGAATGAAAAGTGGCGCCTCCCGGTGCTCCCGCCTTTACCCCCCCCCCCCCTTTTTCCTCCCCGTGCCGCTCCTCGTACTACACGGGTGAGAAGGGAAGAACCGCTGGCAAAATTCCACCCCTCCCACGAAGGAGCGTGAAAATTCCTTCCCCCTCCCCCCCACGGCGCAACCTCGTTGACTCACGGTTCTCTCGAGACCCCCCCTCCCCCTCCCCAAATCCCACGCGACCGCGGCGCGCCGTCCACCACCTATGCATCGCGGCGTCCAAAGTCTAAAGTTAGCCCGGACCAATGAATCACAGCCCACGAGGAATGGCTAAACGGCGCGAGCGAAAGGGAGTCGGAGGAGTGGAGGAGCACCGAGACACCGAGAGCAAGGGACGCCGACCGCGGTCTGGTGCGGCCAAGCCGTCTGATTCCGAACACTCCTTCGCCGCTCTGTCTCTCTCGCACCCCTACGGACCGCCCCATGCGCGTGAGGGAGTCAGAGCGACGAAAACGACTCTCGGAATCTGTCCGCTGAAGCCTGAATGAAGCGGGTTGTGGAATCGCGCGGCCGCTTCACGGACTTCAAGCCTTCGCGGCCCAATGCCGAGTGCCCTCCGAGGGGTCCATCTAGATCCTTTGTGCTGCGAGCCCACCACCATGAAATACAGAAAGATGGCCTGACCTGAGACTGAAAGACCTGAAACTTACGAACGTTCCTTCTCTCGCCTCGCGACAGGGGTGTCCATTGGGTTGCCTACCGCGCAGGCGCCCCAGGCTGATCGGTCAGTTGGGTTGCCTACCCGCCGGGCGCTGTTACATCTCAGCTGAGGCTCCGAACCCGGACCCACTCTAGGGCTCTACTCTCCACTGTGTTAAACAGCATAGTTCAGAATCTAATGCAAAGAAAATTTAGTTTATGTCCTGAGGGCAAAACTTACCTAGCTTTAAAAATTGTTTTTAACTTTCAAACTTGGGTTGAATAAAATGCATTCTGAATTTCTCTCATTTTTATTTTTTCTTATTTACATTGAACAAATGTCAGTCACACTTCACCACCGAAATTTGAATATATATCTACTTCTAGTCATTATCAAATCTTTTCTGATAAAAATGTGGAGCTAATTCTTCTAACCAATCTGGCTGTACAACAGTCAGGTCCCTCATATATGTACGGTTTGTGCTCATAATTTCACTGAATAGAACCCACTGGGGTTGCTCCAAAGTGTACAAAACTGAACTGGGATGAATATGGAGTTCTTGTCCACCTCGAACAGTGCGGTAGACACCGGAGTGGTGCAAATAAGCAGCATTAGGGAAGAAACCAGCAGCAATACACCTGCACACAATTTCAGACCTACCATTACAGGAAGTTATTGGTATCTTAAACTTTGTGAGAAGTTTGATTATTTGGTTCCTTATTTGATCAGTCCTTTTTAGAGCCTTATAATTCAAAAAGTTTTCATGGCACCATGGCTTTGCCCGGGAGCCCTCCTGCTTCTTGAAGCCTACAACCACGTTTAACAAAGTCAACAAGTCACCTTCAGCAACTTCAAATTTACGATGAGCTATACGAGCTCTGATTGCTGCTTGTCCTCCTGGTTTCGTAAAGATGTTTTGAACCTGCAAAGCAGCCATTATCGATGCCACCTCCTCAGAGCATCCAAACTCACCAGAAGTAATCAGAGTTTTGGAGTGAAGAGGTGACACTGGGAATTCAGCCATCTGTACACCAAGGGGATCAGTTAACTGCCCGCTATCATCAATTGCATTTAAAGCGTACAAAAGTTCTAATGCGGATAGAAGGTTCTTAGCAGGTGGAGGAGATGGAAAATTAAAGCGGAGCACATTGTTGATGCCTAATGCTTTCAATTGTAAAACAGCTCCTGATAATTCTGTCCTTTGCATTTCTGGAGGAGTGGCTGCAGCCAGCTTTTCAAATTCTTCTTCCTGGTACAGACGGTAAGCTTTGCCTGATCTGACACGTCCTGCTCGCCCGGCACGTTGGTCGGCTGAGGCTTGTGATGTTGGAACCAGCACTAGAGAGTCAACCTGCGTTTCTGGATTAAACCAACGTAGTTTCATAAATCCACAATCTATTACATAAACTATTCCAGAAATTGTAATTGAGGTCTCAGCTATATTTGTAGCGACCACAACTTTTCTAAGATCTCTAGGAGTTGGTCGGAAAACTTTGAGCTGGTCACCATAAGGCAGGGAACCATACATTGGCAGCGGCAGTAACTTCAATTCACTGTTTCTGTTCTGGGATGCGTGCTCTTTTAGAAGAGACACTGCACGATCTACTTCTTCATGTCCAGTGAGGAATATTAGAATGTCTCCTTTGGGCTCAGAGTCATGAATTTTCATGGCTGTGTCTACAGAGGCCTTGACATAATCAGCTACAGGTTCTTTGACATAAAATACATCCACAGGATACAACCGTCCTTGAACACTAATTATCACAGAAGAATCTTTTTGCTTCGAGTCCTTTGAAACATTGAAGTTGAAAAAGTCTCGTAACTGCTCAGCATCTACGGTTGCAGAGGCTACAATCAGCTTCAAGGTGCGCCGTTTTTGCAGGATTTTTTTCAGAAGTCCCATTATAATATCAGTCAAGAGGGTTCGTTCATGCACCTCATCCAGCACTATCACACAATAGTTCCTCAGCAAAGGGTCAGCCATCATTTCGCGAAGTAGAATTCCCTCGGTCATGTATTTTATCCTGGTATTCACAGGATCAAAGGTATCGTCAAACCGAATTGAGTATCCCACCAAACCACCCAGTGGGGTTCCCTTTTCATCTGCAACTCTACTTGCTAGAGTTGTAGCTGCAACTCTGCGTGGTTCAGTAACACCAACAAGTTTTCCATCAGAACACCAACCAGATTCATACAGGTACTGTGGAATCTGAGTACTTTTGCCACAACCAGTTTCACCAACCAAAACTACAGTTTGATATTGCTCCAACAGATACAGTAAGTGATCTCGGTTCTTGAAGACAGGTAGTCTTTGTCGGTGTTGGTCCAATGACAGAGAAAGGTTTGGGTTGTAGATAAATGATGTGTTTTGATCTGCATCCAAGTCGGACTTATCTTCTTGGACTAAGTCGTCATCTTTTGGCTTCAGAAACACGGGTCGCATGCCAGCCATGTTTTCGGCAAGAAGTAGTGCAGTCCTTCTAGTGGGCAAGCATCACCTTGGAACTGGTCATGAATTCAGCAATTGGGCTGTCACTGCAATCAACAAACCACAAACAATGCACAAATTAAGAGGTTATACCGTATGAAGCATTTACGTTGTCACAGCTTTCACAATAAAGACATAAGGCGAAAGTAACATTGATCAAGAATTCTCACCCTCATTACTTCTTTTAAACCGACGGATAGAACTCCACTTGAAAACAAGCAGCGACATTCGTGCAAGTTCAAGTCGATTCGAACGCCGGACGCTTCGTACCTCCCTTCTGCTTTTGTTTTCAGAGTTGGTGTTCCTGGATTCTGGGAGTGTTATTTGTTTTTCGCGTGGGTATGTTGGTAGTGAACCGGTCGTGGTGAAAAGAGGTTATGGACGTGTAACAAGCTGTTTATTTTGGTCATTTATTCACCTAAGTTTAATCCTTTAGGCTGTTGTAAAAAGTAAGTGTGATACTAATTTTTTATCGTACTGCGTAGGATTACAATTACACGAAAGGTTCATAAGTTTTACTGAAAAGTTATTGGGTTAGTGGTGTGGTGCCTGTGCGAACCAACCCATCGCGAACATAAGCACTTATTTTGAAGCATTTCGCTATCAATTGGTAATCGTTTGTGTGACCCCCAAAACCTTTTTTGTTTCCAATTGTACATATGTTCCGATCCGATGTCCCTGAAAGTTTTGTTCATGTAGACATTACCTGATCCACCGGTAAGGTGTTCTCAGGATGTGAGTTGCTGTCAAGTGTTTAATTTTATGCATTCAATTTTGTTGCTTTTCAGATGCGTGGAAATCGTTCCAACCGAAGAGCCAGGGGGCGAGGACGGGGCCGAGGGGGGCGAGGAAGAGGAAGGAACAAGAAGGCGTCAAAGGTCATCATCTGCTTCCACTTAATTTTGTTATCTCTGTGACACTCTTGGATGTGAATTTGACAACTTTACCTTTTGTCCTTTTCTTATCTACTCAGACTATTGAGAGTGATGACGAAGAGATGCCAATGCCATCTGGAGAGGATATGCCAGAAGAAAATGATGAACAACCAGTGCCTAAACAAGTACAGGAACAGCAACAATGTAAGTTCACCTATCCTACTCATTCATCGAGTTTCCCCATTCAATTCTGGCTTTTTAATTATTTTTCTTCTGTTACAAGTCATGGTTTACATGTGTACAGTTTATAATGTTTTCCTAATTTCTGGTTGCCCTTACAGTGGATATGGAAGCTGACATTTCTCTCCTCGAGGCACCAACCTTTACAACATTAAATAGAGGCCCCCCTGAGCCTATGCTTAGATTGAACTGGGATCATCGGGTAAATCTTGTCGGAGAAAAGGTTCTAAATCCAATGATCCATTGCTGTGACCAATGTAACAAACCTATCCTAATCTATGGTCGAATGGTATGTTGTCGTCTATTGCCAAAATTTTTAAATGAAAGTATCTAGAATTTTTGAGAAACTTTTAACCATTTTTTATACTGCGTTGCAGATTCCTTGTAAACATGTATTTTGCCTGAAATGTGCCAAGAAAGAGGAGAAGATTTGCCCTCGGTGTAATGACAAGGTTCATCGAGTGGAACAAGTGGGGCTTGGTACAGTGTTCATGTGTGTTCATGGTGGCTCTAGATATGGAATCGTGGGCTGTCGACGGACGTACCTCTCTCAGAGGGATTTGCATGCTCACATCAACCATCGTCACACAACATCAAGTACTGATATCAGCAGTTCACAGTTCAATTCACACATGAAGGAGTCATCTTCAATTGAGAAACTAATGACGGTCTCTGGACCGGGAGCTCTTTCTTCTCATCACTCAGTTTCTCATCCTTCATCCCATTCTGTTTCTCATTCATCGTCCCATCCTCCCCCTTCTGCTCATTCCTCGCACTCTGTGTCTCATCCCTCATCCCATTCTATGCCTCACCCCTCCTCCCACTCTGTGCCTCATTCCTCTTCCCACTCAGTGTCACATTCCCATTCTGTTCCCCACCCTTCTTCCCATGTGCATCCACCACCCCATGCCATTTCCCATCCCTCCTCTCACTCCATGTCCCATTCACACCCTAGTTCACACCCTGGCTCTCACCCTGGTTCTACACCCTGGTTCACACCCTGGTTCACACCCTGGTTCACACCCTGGTTCTCACCCTGGTTCTCACCCTGGTTCTCACCCTGGTTCTCACCCTGGTTCTCACCCTGGTTCACACCCTGGCTCACACCCTGGCTCTCACCCTGGTTCACACCATGGATCACACCATGGTTCACACCCCGGCTCTCACCCTGGATCACATCCCGGTTCTCACCAAATTTCGCATCAAGTTTCGCATTCCTCTTCACACTCAGTGCCTCATTCTGCTGCTCCACCACAGTCAAGAGGGAAAAGTGATAGAGGCCATGTAAGTACCACTTTTGTTTCTGAAATTAAAGTGCTGTTTGTTCTGTTGGCTAATTATTTATTTTTCTTCTTGTTAATGTGTTTTATTCAGGATGTCAACCATCACAGAAGTCGCGGTGGCCCATCTCCACCACCACCCCCTCCACCACCCTATGCTCCAATGCATCGTCCGCCTATGATTGTGGCGCCCCCAGGCTATGCACCAGCAGCACCTCCACCCACACAGCATACTCAGAATAGCATGCGGACTAACTTGATTACAGTGCCTATTCAGGATGTGGAACCGCCGCAAAACACGTACCACCACCATTACAGTCAGCCCCCTCCGACGCAGTACAGCCATTCGTATGCAGTGCCACCCCATCAACCGCCCCCTAATTACTATCCTCCAGTGACTTATGCACCTGTAGTGCAGCCGCCCTATGTGCCTCAAGGGCCTCCTTCGCAGGGTGTGCCTCCACCACACCCCCAGCAGGGTGTGCCTCCAGGAATGTCAGTGAGGCCTCCCCACTACCATGACAACCAATATAGAGGCCCGCCACCCCCAGTGGCCCATGGACAGCAGTGGCCAATTAACTCGAGTAATCCCCCACCCACATATTACCGCTAATTGCATTGATGCAAGTTAGTCATTCTGTGGGGTCTTATTTTTGACGTGGATCAATTTATAGTTTTATTTTGAATTGGAATTTTTTCTTTTCTTGGGTCCCAGATATTATGTCATGTGAAGTCGTTCGACATGTTATTTGTAAGGTACCTTCTGTGCAGAGTGTTAATGGTTTGTCTCGTTATTCAGTCTTCTACAGTGATTGTGTGATGAATCTCTCACTTTTTTTATGCTACTGTATGTTTAACTGAACCTTGTCACAAACTTGGCAATCTGCCCATTTGGCACTGAGATCACAATTATTGTATATCATTTTAAGATGAACATATAGTTAAATTTTATTACAATTTTGTTGCTTTTGTTATGTTGTGTATGTCAAATTAGTGCAAATATTCATTACGGAGTACTAAATCTAAACCTGCTGTACTTGACTGATATGACAGCATATTTTTTTCTACCTTCTAATTGAAAAGGGCTCATCCCATGTGATTGAAATCCCTGTCCTTGTGAAAGAAAATGTTGATTTCATTTCTTTCTTTCTTTCTATATCTTTTCAAGAATGTCTTGAGCAAAAATGTGTTTATGTAATCTTTTCGCAAGTATTTGTTCATCAAAGATTCTGAGGTGCTTTAAATTTTAAAATGTTATGCAATCAGTAGCATCCTATTTTGCCAAAAAAATGTAAAAAACCAATTTAATGTGTCAGTACTGGTTGTATACGACTTATTAAATTGTTGGTTGTTGTTTTCTTTTGACTGTTTCTCACACCTTTCATTCATTTCTGCCAACATGGAATGTAATATGAAAGATCTGGTAGCAAGGCAACAGAAATTCAAAACAAAAATTTATTCTGATTGATGCCATCACATGGAAGTTCATAAAGTCAGCCACATGAAAAAAAAAGTTCTTGCAATTAAAATTTTCATTAGTTGGTTAATAATGCTAATGCAGCTTTTCTGGTGTAGGTTTGTGAGTTTAATAGCTAGGTGTGATGAGAAAGTGCACAGAAATAGAGCTTTGGTCAATCCAAAATAATAGGAAAGGCCCAAAGACCTAGGTATCTGTACCTGAATATACTGTACGACCACCTGTGGGAAGCTCCAAGAAAGTTATATACTCAGACTTTTTACAATTGTATAGAAAACACGAGTCAACACAAATTATTAGAATCTTGTTGATACAGTAACACATACTTCGTTCATCTAAATTAATTTCTTTAGAGACTCCACAAAGCACTTCACACATCTTTGAAATAGAATATACTATAATATAAAAACATCAAACATCACTCTTAAACTTCTTTTCTTTTTTTAATTTTTTAAAGCCCTACAATAAGATTTATGACAAACCACTGAGATGTGAAATTCTATCAATTGAATGACACTTCTTATAACTATTAAAAAATCACCAGTTTTCCTCCTTAGCCCCAGGTATCCTTACTGTTTGAGATAGTAAGTTTGAATTTTAAAATAATTCTTACCCCTCTATCATAGGAGTAAAGAATAAGCAATAAGCCTGGTGATAGCTAAAACAAGAACAACTCAGTAGGGTACATGTGACTAAGGAGGACACATCATAACTAAAATAATGTACAGAGCTAACTTCATAGGTACAAATATAAACATTTATCACAAAGACTTCCTCACAAGGAATGACTCAGTATAATGTCACTTTGCTCAGTCGATCCAGTCTTGAAGGGGACATGTGACAGCAGGCTTATGCAAAACAAAATGAGATATCTTGGGACTGTCTCCAATGCACTCAAATCTCCAATTTCAACTGCCACTATTTTTAAAAGAATAACAATAACAAAAAAAAAAAACTCGATGCTCTAAATTAGAACTGTTAAGTTGATGTAGGGCTTGTGGTGCCACCACTGACATCTACAATGGCTGACTGAACTGGGAGCACTGAGGGGGAAGTGAACGGTGTTGCCAAACTGTGAGATTCCACCGAAGACGGTATTGGAATAGACACCACTGAGCTACTTGATGAAGCATTTGATGGTATAGGTGAGGTGGCAATCTTAGATCGATCTTTTTGAGATGGGCGGGGTATTCCGACCAGACTGGATACAGACGAGTCAGTCTTGCCAAGTCGCTCATTTAGAGCCTTCAGTGCTATTAATCTGTAATAAAAATAAACAGCAATAAATAAATAGAACTGGAAACTTTAAAGGAGCAAATAAAAGCTGCAGTTACCTGCGCCTCTCCATGTCATGGGGATCAATTCCAGGTAGAGTTACTGTAACTCCCGTTGGAGCAGCAGCCATATCAAACTTCCGTACAGTGCGCCGGCAGAGGCGTATTCTTACTAAGAAACTATGAACTGTATTACTAAACACAGCTATTGGAGGTTGTAAAACAGTAGGGAAGAAGCTGAAAAAAGAATCAAAGATGTCAGATAGCAGAGTCAACCATATTGTTTAAGAGCAGAATTGTATACCAAAGGAGCTTCCTTACCTTGCAAAAGTAAAATTATCTGCCATGTCACCTTTGGTGCCATTACTATGCCATTGATAAAAACGTAGATATGTCCAGCTGACAAGAACACCAGATGCAAACATGGTAGGATATGTGCCCTCAAGGAAACCAATCAACCATAATACAAGTGATGCTAAGAAAACATTTAGAGGCACATTTCTATTTGTCATCTTTCCCAACGGAGTCTTGAGTAGAATATGGTCAGGCATAATCTGTTTCACTGCGACAGCAACTCCCGCAATGTATCCTGCCATTCCGTGGATGTGGATGTCGAAGAGGAGCATTGTGTCCGATGAGCACATGTACAGGAACAGGTAGAATGATGCGCTGAGTGCCGCCACTCCGAGGTTGACAATAGCAAAGAAGGTGACAACCTCCATTGAGCTCCATAGTGGCTCAATTAGTTTTCCACACAAACCAACAGTCACAATGTCAACACAAACTTCCCAGAAGTGCAGCTCCAGGAAGCAAAACGTGAAGGCTGTCCATATCCAGAAAGCAGGAGGGAATATGTAACCAGGCCTCACACTCAAAACATTCACGGCTTCTTGAGAGAAAGACAGGAAGTATCCAAACAGTACAACTACGCTCATAACCTTAACGGGTGCACTTGTATTACCTAACAGAGCACAAAATTGCTGCTGAAGGTAAGGTAAATTCTTGCTCAGAGTTCTCATCGTAGCCATTTTGAGGCTTAAGTTTCGATTTCCCCATCAAAGTATATAGTCCAAGGGTAGTATCAATCAACGAGCAGCGAACTTTTAACTCACAACGTTTACATTTGAGTTTTACAGAAAGAAATCACACCTATGTGCAGACAATCACTAGAGAGTTAAATGCTCACAGGCTCCAAGAAGAGACGCTGTGGATCCTGGGTATACGTTTGTGATCTACAGTTGCTGTAATTAAATACCGCAGCTCTTTACGTGATTGTTATTATTTGATGATAAGATTCCATTAAGTTGACATGGCCCAATTTTGAATCGTCATTCGTAATTTTGGTCATCCTGATTTTTGTGCGAATAGAGGCGTTATTTGCAGAACGGCTTGGTGGTGGCTGGCCTGAATGGCGGGCTCGTTTGGATGCTCCGGCTGCCTTGGGCATTTCACTGCTCGAAAAACGCCAACAAAGGTACCAAAAGTTTCCTATTTTCCTTCCTGATTGTTACACGTGTTTTTTCACCTCGGAGCAATCTCCAAAGGAAACTAGAGCAGATAACTAGCCAAATAGATGTGTTCAGTTGCGTGACTGCATGTAAAGTTGACGCTCCGAGATGCTTCGAGTAAATTAACTATGGGTCACTGTGATTCATTGGAATTGTGACACAATATTTATGTGTTTGAATGATCAGGCACAGCAGTCTAAATGAGCCCTGGAGTCACCTAGAAACGGAAGAAAACGTAAACAAGCTGGTTGGATTCTTGTGGGACTTCCTTTGGCGGCAACCCAAGAGAATCAAGGTGCAGTGCTAACCGACCGCACCGCCATTTTGTAAGGCTTGGTAGTGTTTATGAAGAATGGAGAAGAATTAGGTAAATAATAGTGGAAGAGGTGAAATTTTTTCTATTTTCCTGGTGTTTAGAAGACGGTTTGAGTGGTCAGGTGTTTCAACCAAGACTTAAGTTTCCGGGGGTGAGATAGAACAGTGAGATGTGACCCATTTCCGTGTGTGTGAAGTGAAAATGAGAAGTTGAGTGATACTTGTTCGACGTGTTGTGAACGGGGCGTCTGTGCATTGTATGTTTTTACCGCCAAAAGGAATGGTGCGACATCAATGTTGAGATGGTTGATTGACGGCTGTCACCCGCCCTTTTCTCGACTCGGGGGTCCTTCTGCAAGCGGATGCTCGCCTGCACTTTGCACTGCAAGGCTGTCTTGCAAGCCTATGCACAAGGTTCAAGGCGCAGCGCAAGTCGCAGTCGCAAGGCGAAGGGCAGATGGTTTCATTAACCTGCTTTTCCTCTCATCAGGTGGTCGGATGTGCCTTGCGCTTTAAAGACCCCAGGGAATTGTTGGGATATTTTGTTTGAAATACCACACATTTGTAGGTGTAATTCAATGCATTTTTAAGTGTGTTCCCTCTTTCTCTCTCTTTTTGGTCAATGTTTACATCTTGTTTCAACCAAGAGAACATTTGAAATAGGTTGACAGTTTCCTCAAAAGTTCTTCTGTCTGTCTGACCATGTTAATGGTCTGTTCATTGCAACTTAAGGCCATTATGCAACTTTTAATCGGAGCGTAGAGTCATGTGATCCTAATCCCTTTGTGGCAAATCGCCCTAACCCTTCTTCTAAAAAAAAAAAAACAATGCCTTCTGCAGTTTCTTCAGTCATTAATTTTTATTCTCACATTCATTCAAAGATTTGTTGCCCATTCATATGTGAATGAAACAAAGCCACTTCCTATTCATTTATTATTGTTTAGGAATATCTTCTAGTAGTAATCAATCCAATCAAAGAGCTATTTTATTTAGTCTAAAAATTTCCTATTTCAGATGGCAATGATTACTCCGTAAGAGCTGTATGGAGCTATATAGCATGCCACAGCTTGATAAAACACCATACTCTGACATTCACTATGTGGAAAGGAGTAACCTGCCTAGCACATCCATCCCCGTGGATGTCAAGAAGGTGTGTTTCCTCGTTATCCTCTGACTTAACACCTCTGTTCATGAGCCATGTCTTGAATTATTAAAATTTTCCTCTCTGTCAGTTTTCCCCCGTTTCTGGAGACATCTTGACGAGTTCAGCATGGAGTGCTGTCATCCACCGACCAGCTGAAGATTCAGAACCTGAAGACCTGCCGTCAACAGTTGACATGGATGCCATTAAAGTATGTTTGATATTTCCATTATTGCCTTTCAACGACCTTTTTGTGTAAAACAGTACTTTGTATGGTTTTCAAATGTCTATTTGATTTTAGGGTTCTCCTTCCACGTCACTGCCAGCTGCAGGGGCTTCAGTTTGGTCGGAAAGTGATAGAGGTCACGTAGGAGGTGGGGGTGGAGACGATGACAGTGATAGTGACGACGATGATGATGATGAAGATGATGATGATGAAAATGAGAAAGGAGATTCTTCCAGTGAATCTTCTTCTCGCAACTCTGATGGAGAGGATGCTGACTCGGAGTCTGGCACGGCTCAAGGTTCAGCAAGTGACTCTGTAAGTATTAAGTTCTTACAAGTCTGGATTTTAAGGTTTCCCTGAGATGATCCCTCACTGTTGCCTCTTTTTTTTGTAAAGGATTCGGAGAGCAGCTCACGAAATTCATATGATTCTGATTCAGACTCAGCTTCAAGTGATAGTTCATGTTCGTCTCGTTCTAGTGAGTCTAGCCACTCTTCTTCTAGCCCGGCGCCAAAACCTGTTCCTGTTAGAGATGTTGATAAGGTTGGTCCCCTATTCATAAGTTAAGTTCTTGCTCCATTAATGGTTTTGAATACAAATTCTAACTGCATGCCTCACTTTTGTGTGTTTAGCGCTCTTCCAATGAACAACAGCCTACGTTGGTGAAGTCACGGTTAAATGTCCCTAGAAATGATAAGAATGAAGAAAGATGTGATGTGAAAGCTGGTAGTCAAACTGCCAAGGATGGGGACAAAAGTGATGAAAGGAGAGTCACAATGAGGAAGGAGGAGGAACATAAACCGTTCAGAAGTATGAACCTGCACCCAAAAGAGGACCAACGGAGTGACCCTAAGCGCAACTTCTCCCATACAAATCCTGAAGCCGAAGAGAACAGGCTGAAGGAGAAGCTGAAGGAACCCCAGAAGCCGTCTCCACTGCGGGCAGTCCGTCGCAAGGATCTGGAAGTGCAGCCCAGCCGAATGACGGACAGGATCAAGGTAAGCCTCGACTCCCCCGCAAGTCGGCAAGCCGCTGGAGCCCGCTGCAGAGAGTCCTTTCCGTCGCTCTGTCTCTCTCGTACTCATGGGGCGTCCCGTATAGGTGCGAGAGAGACAGAACGACTCTCGGTATCAGTCTGCTGGTCAAGGAGGTACCTGTCTTGGCGGGGCGCAGCGCGTGCACCTGGCCTTGCAAGATCGCCCGGAGATAGGGTGCGCGCGCACGGCGCTCGGCACGGGCGCGGCCGGACAGCTGCGCCGCGCCACGCCACGCCTCAGTGGGCGGCCGGCGACCGGCCCAGCCACCTGGCGCTCCGCCCGAGCCGAGCGAGTGCACCGCGTTGCCTGTCCACCAGGAGCCATGATGAGAATAAGTGAACCGCTTGCGCTAATTTTAACTTATGTCCTGTTTTTCAGGGGTTGAGTAACGAAGTGACCTCCACACGTCCGCATACTAGTTCTTCCTCTACGACTCAGTCTCACAATTTCAAAGATCTTAACAGTGTTGATGAGAAAAAGTCTGAGCGCAAACTCATTTCAAGTTCGACAGCGCAGACGTCCGCGGCCAACGAGTCTAGCAGTGATGTGGAGCTGCCAGTGCAAGTACGTGTTCAGTGTCATTTTGATCATTATCAAATTGGAAAAAAGTCTGTGAAACTCATGCTTTTCACTCTTTACTGTAGGTGGTCAAAGATGCTATCAAAAGGATTCAAGTTGCACCCAAACCAAAACCAAGTTCCAACACAGTTAATAATAAGGAAGATGATGATGCTGAACATGAAGAAGACGATGAGGGGGAGGAGGATGAATCTAGTGATGAGGACAGGGGCAGGGACAGCAGACAAGCTCAGTACTCTTCGAGCCTTTTACAGAAGTTTGTGGAGAGCACTGAACGATTATCAGGGAAAAGAAGCTCTGCGCCTGTCCGTGTGTCTGGGCCTAAACTTAGCACAAGTTGTAAGTTAACTCTTGTCAGATTTTTATTTCTATTTACAAGCATTTTCTGTAAATTCCTTCAAACTTGTTTTTATTTTCAGCTGGAAGCAGCCAGAGTTCAAAAGATGCTGTCAGACTGAAACATGCACACCCCTCCCAGTTTCTCTCTTCCAATTCATTGCCAGCTCGTTGCGTAGAGCCTTCCGCGGGGCCTTCGGGTAGACCAGGTCCTGCAGACCTGGAGGTTTATTGCTCGGTGAGCAATGTTTCACCTGATAGTGGTATCTATTGTGTAAATGGTTCACCATGGCATCAATCATCACCTGCCCATTCCCCTCAACATCCTTTGAAGGCACTCCCATCACCACCACGAGGACTCGCCCATCAGGATCACAGGAGGTACCGCACAGTTACTAACTTAGAAATAAAGTTTGTTGACCACAAATTGATTCTGAATGAAATTAATGGACTTAATTTTGATCTGCAGGAAACATGTTTCAATGCCAGTACTCCCTTTATCAAGCTCTAAGTCACCTAAAAAGAGCTCAAACCAATTGGAAAGACAGAAGGATGTCAGAGTGCCTCCTATTTTGACAATGGATGACTCTGATGATGAAATGTCTTCATCGCCAATGTTGACAGCACCTGCTCGGAGGGGGCGAGGAAGGCCGAAAAAAGTTCCTCCTGTTCTTGAGCCTTGTCTTCCTTTCAACTCAAAGCCTTCATCTAAAAGTGTTTGCAGCTTGGACCAGAGCAAGCTTAAGAATAGGAAACAAGTCAAGCAACGGAAGGAGTCTGAAAGCTCAGATCAGAGTGAAGAACGCTGTGATAAAATTTTAATGTTTACAACACATAGACCTAGGGAAGTTCAAGTGACTAGCCAGGGTGTGCAATGTGACCAGTCTGAATTTTCTTTGATGGGTCTAACAAAGAAAAAGAAGAAAAGTCAAAGTAGTCAAAACCATCAGAGTAGCCAAGTGAAGTACATTCAACCAACAGTATACAGTGTTCAAGAAAAAGAAAAATTGTATCAGAAAGTAGATTTACCAACCGCCTGTGATCGTGTCAAGAAAAATGCTGATGGTCGCACATATGGGCATTCCCCAATGGCCCAGTCAAAATCTTACCCCAATAATTCATCTAAGGATTTGGGGTCCTTTAAAAGATCCAGTAAACAAGACTCCTCTCCAAGCTGCAACCAATCATCATCATCTTCCAAGCGTAGGCTTCCAACTAGTGTTGAGAAAAGAAAGAAGGGAAGGAGAAGAGGCCACGCCGCCAGGCTGGCAGCGGCGGCTGCTGCACTGCTATCATCAAGTTCATCACTTTCTCTCAAACCCGATACGCCCACGCCTAGCTCCTCTGTTCAGCCAGCACCATCCTCAGCCTCCTCATCAACCAGTGTTCGTCCCTCTAAACCTTCACGCCCCAGTGAGGTAAGAGGCTATTTCTCTTTCATTTTATTATTATTGGGTTTATGCTATGTTAAGAAGCATCAAGTAACCATATTTTGTTTTGGTTGTTAGAAAGTGGTTTCACTACCTCGGGGCATCAAAAATCACAAACATAACAAGAAGCATCATAAACGGAAAAACCACAAGAAACATTCAAGTCGTTCCAGTTCCATTGATCCAAAGTTTTTGCAAGAATTGGAAAAGCTTATCTTGGATTTTCAAAAGTGCTGTTGTATAGCTCGCATTCAGCAACCATCCAACAGGTATGTTACCTTCAACAAAGCGGTAAAACTTGATTTTATTTTTTTCTTGATTTTTTTGTGTGTTTTTATTTATTTTTATATTCTTGTCCTGCATTATTGTAGACTTGGTGAGGCAGCCAAACTTCCCTCAATATTTAGACTTAAAAGAATAGGGAAGAAACGCAAAGGAAGTGAAAGATCCAAAACTAGTGATCGTGACTCGGGACCTGAAGCTGACAATACCATTCCCCCTGTGGTACCCGCTCCCAGGGACAGTCGTGACAAAGGTAGCACAGGAGGAAAACGGCGTCCTAAAAAGAGCGCCGTTGAAACACCGAAGGTATGCACCCACCCTTCTTGTTCTATATTGTGTGTTTTCTGAATATTTTTTTCCAAAATGCTCTATATTTGTTTTTAATTTTTCAGGGCCAGAGACCTGAGGCAAACAATGAGCAAAGATTGCCCCTGAAGAAGAGACATTATCACATGTCCTCTGCTCCCAACCACCAAACTGGTGTCACATCATCACCAGAAATGTCCCTTGACATCAGTTCTTCTGCTGAGGATAAAAGAAGCAACAATGATGATAGCCCCACTTCCAGTATAAGTAGCAAAGGCAGCGTAGTCAGTGCTACAAGCCAAGGAAGTCGTGGAAACCTGTCTGTTAACAATCCAAATCAGTCCAACAAAGTAGCTCCTCCAACAAGTGTGTCAGCGGATGTGCCACCTGCCGTTACTTCCTGTGCAACCAAAGGATCTCCCACCCCTCCCATTTCCAGTGTGGGTAGCAGGCAGCCGTTCAACAGCTCAGGATCGGCCAAAGGAAACATACTGCCTGGCCCAAGTGTTGCTCACAGAGTCACTGTAGTCATGCCAGCTACCAGCAGCAGCCCTGTGGGAAACACATTTCCTGCAGGTGAATCAAGCATCTTAAGTAAAGCAGATTCATCTGCAAGTTTTGCCAGTGTGTGTGGCAAAAGTGATACTCCTCCTTCCCATTTGACTCTGGTCAAGAACTCTCCTTCAGTGCCATGTTCAAACCTAATTACTGTCACACCTAGTGTGAAGGAATCTTCCCAAGGTTGTTCTCCACCCAGTGATAAAAGTGCTGTATCTGCAAGCTCTAGTGTTGTGCCATCTAAAAACAATCAACTTCCTGAAGAGAACTCTCTTGTCATCAAGACAAATGGCACTAGTGGAACAAGTGTCAAAGTGTCTAATTCCAAGAGCTGTGCTACTTCAGATAGTGCAGGTTTGAACAGTTCAGCAATTAAATCGGCTGCAGACAGTAGTTTAGCTTCAAAATCAACTGCTCCGACTAGTGTTAACCAATTTGCATCCAGAGCAGTATCTGCAGCTCAAAGTGACAATTTGGAGGGTATGCGCAGTGCTCTGTCAATGAATAGAACCCCTCCACCTCCATCAGGATTATCAGCAGACTTTGGAACAAGTCAAGCAGGAAGTGTCAAAAACAGTGTCAGCAGCTCTAATGCTGAGGCAAAATTATCTAGAAATTCTTATGATGATGCTATTGAAGCATGCATAAGCAAATATTCATCAGAGGTTCCTTCTATCAACTTGACTCCAAGAGCTGTTATAACAACACCCAAGAAACGACATCGTATGGAAATGCAAGGGAAGCCTGGAGGCAGCAAAGGAAAAGAAGTGGAGCCTAGTGTCGATTCAACAACTGGCAGTGTATTGAGCTCGAGCTCACTGATGCCAAAAAGGTCTAACAGCCGCACAGTTTCCTCGCCCACTCTCGAAGCAAATCATCCTGTTGTACAAACCAAATTGATGCCACCTCTTCCTACACCTCAGGCACTGTCCCCTGGGGGCTCAAAATTGATTGAATCAGGTATTTTTGAACCTTCTTCTTCCTCAGAGCATTTTGTTTTAAATGTGTCTCTGCCTGCTACACCTGTGAAGAGTGCAATCACTGGCCTTTCGAAATTAAAGGCTACAACCTGCTACAAACCAACCGTAGCAGAGCCTGTTGCACCTGAATCTACTCCAGCTGAAGAATCATCTTCTGATTCATTCACCCTCACAAGTAAAAATTTGCGCCAAAAGAAAAGTGGTTTGGGCATTTCTTCTGAAGAAGATCTTAGAGACTCGGCATCTGAAGACAGAAGTGTTGAAAACAATACTCCTGACCCATTCCAATTTCATGAAGACGATGATCCCATCCCTGTTTTGAAATCTGATGTTGATCCCAAAATCAAAGCTAAGTCAAAGCCCAAACCCAAAAAGGCTGACAATCTTGACAAAGAGACAGACACCAAAAAGGTTGAGATTGAAGTGAAGGCGGAAGCAAAGTCTGAAGCGAATAGCATTCCTCCAGATGTGGAAAGTTTAAAAAGTAATGATCTAAAAGAAGTAAGAATCCAAGTAGAGAAGCTCAGCAATGTGGACACCTCTTCACAGAAAGGTAAAGATGCCAAACAGACCAAAAGCAGCAACCCTGTGACCAAAAGACGGAGGAAGTGCAACAGAACTGGTTTTCCTGTCAAGCGTAAAAAGAAAAAGAAGGAGACATCTCTTCCTCTTGATGTTAAGACTGAAGAAGAATTAAAGGGAGATACTGATGCTGAGAGTGCGACTGATTCTAGAATTCAAGATGATGGGATCAAATCACTCAAGGAAGAAGTAAGTGACAGTGGTACAAATGTTAAGGTGGAGCCAATGAAGGAAAGTCAAGCTGTGATATTGAAGTTTGAAGAATCCAATTGTTCGAATGACATAAAAGAGGAGGCAAAGCCATCAGACCAGTCTTCCCCTCCTCTTCACAATTATTCTCCTTTGTCACCAAATTCTCAGCAAAGTGCCATGAAATCAGGAGAATCTTCAACCTCATTGAATGAGGATGCCCCTGTGCCATACATTGACAGAATCCCCAACAAAGATAAATACATGTATGCTGGCTTGTCCAAAAGAGTAGATGGAAAAGCAGAGTGCAAGGTACGCAAACCAAGCAAAGCTGTGCTACGGGCTATGCGAGCCAAATTCTCAGAAAATATTTCACTACCTCAAATGCCGGCCGGTACGACTAAGGGACCCAAATTAATGCCTCCTAACTGGAGTTCTGATGAAAGTGATGATTCTGTCGATGAGCCATATGAGTATCCTGAAATGCCAAGTTACGTTGGGGATGCTGGCCCAGAGGATGGGACCAAAAGTGACAGTGAGCATGAGGTGGCTGAATTGCCAGAGATGTTGAGAATACCTGAAGAATGCAGTGCAGTTACCCTCCCAGACACTGATGATGTATCAAGAAAGAGGCCCAGGCGTGACATGAAGAGACCTGCTGCATCCCCCTGTGATGAGTCTGTCAAAAGCAAGTGTTCTAAGTCTGAAAAAGAGGAAAGCCACAGTTCTACATCAAAGAAAGCCAGGACTACAAATGAGTCTCGCACAAGAAACAAGCGCAAGCTAGGTGCTGATGATTTGCCTTCATCAGCAGAATTGCGCAATGCCCGCTGCAAGAAGCGCCGCACTATGCCAAGACTTGAAGCTGACAGCATAGAAACCGATGGGTAGGTTTTTGTTGCTTGCTAGCTCATGTATACATTGCCTTTAGTCTTATTTTTGTATCAACATCCATTTTTTATCTTCTTGTTTACTATAGGGATGAAAGTGTCCTTGGAGAACTTCCTGGTCCAAGCACAGGTGGTCCAGGAGATGCCTTGTCAGATGAGGAAGCCCCAAAGCCCTTTTCGGCAGATGCCAAGCAACCACGGTGGAGGAAGAATTTTCTTCCCGCTGGATTGTTTTCGGATTATTACAAGATGGATGAGTAAGTTGACATTTTATTCAAAACTGCATTATGTAAGAGGCATTTGGCCTAGGATTGAATTATTGATTTTGGTTTAAATCATGTACTCTTTGTGCAGACCTCGACCAGTGGGTGCCAGTAAGAAAGGCTTGCAGTACAAACCTGAGGATCATCCCTATGGTCTTTTACCTCCACCATACCATTGTGGAAAGTGGCTGCGTCAACGGAGAGTGAACTTCCAACTTCCTTATGATTTGTGGTGGCTTCATTCTCACAACAAACTGCCTGGGCGTGATACTGTTCCATCTTGGAACTACAAAAAAATCAGAACTAGTGAGTGTCTCATTACATTTTAATCTAAAAATTTCTATTTATTGTCACTGTTTTTAAAAAAAATTAATTCTTTGCAGATTACTATAATAATGTTAAGCCTTCATATGTTCATGAGCCTCAGTCTTGTAATTGCAAATCTCCTGATGAGGACACGTCTAAGGGATGTGGGGATGACTGTATAAACCGCCTAGTCTATGCCGAGTGTGCTCCTGGCCTCTGCCCTCTAAAAGAACGCTGTTCCAACCAGAAAATTCAAAGACATGAGTGGGCCCCTGGATTGGACAAATTTATGACCAAAGAAAAGGTACTTATATTGTTATGAGCCTCTCTTAGGCATCTTAAAAGCTATCTTATGTTATTAATGATTTCATTTATTCGTTTCTTATTTGCTCAGGGCTGGGGAGTGCGAACTAAACTACCAATCAAAACAGGTGAATTTATTTTGGAGTATGTTGGTGAGGTTGTATCTGATCGCGAATTCAAGGAGAGAATGGCTACAATCTACACTGAAGACACTCACCACTACTGCCTCCATTTAGATGGTGGTTTGGTTATTGATGGTCATCGAATGGGAGGAGATGGTATGTACTATTTTTAATTTTATTTGAACATTTTTTGGTATTTTTTTACTTAACTTATAATTCTGCTTCTAGGGCGATTTGTAAACCATTCCTGCGAGCCTAATTGTGAGATGCAAAAATGGAGTGTTAATGGCCTATTCCGTATGGCTCTTTTTGCTTTGCGAGACATTGAGGCAAATGAGGAGTTAGGATATGACTACAATTTTTCTCTCTTCAATGCCGCTGAGGGTCAGGTATGTATTTCTATCACTACGTGGCTTTTGTATGCAAGTAATCATATCATCTTATGTTTTTGTTATTTTTTCTTTTCTAAGCCTTGCAAGTGTGGGTCAAGCAAATGTCGAGGTGTGATCGGTGGAAAATCCCAACGTGTGAGCATTATACCTTCTTCTCAAAATGGTTCGTCCTCAAAAGTTAGTGTGGAAGACAACTCTGACAAGAAAGGAGGCCGGAAAAACAAGTCCAAGACCAATCGCAAGAATGATGGAGAACGAGCCGCTGAAAACATGAGACAAAGGAAAAGAATGGAAGCTCAACGTCTAAATCAGTGGTTGACTATGAACATCCGTCAAATGTCTCATCAGCAGCGATCTTTTGTGCAACAACATCATTGCTTTTTGCTTCGTAACTTGGAAAAGGTCAAGAGACTAAGAGAGAAACTAAAACAAGCTACACAGCGAACAGAAGGTGCCAATCGACAAGGCAGTAGTAATGTTAAGCAGTCCGACGTTTTCCTCACCCAACTGAATGCTTTGTCCATACCAAGAAATGTACGCACTAGGAGACTGGCACAGGCTGAGGATAACCCTGAACTTGCTCGAAATGCACGCCTTGCCTGTGTTCTGCGTGAACTTTTCAATGTTGTTGTGTCTGCCAAAGGTGGGTCCATCTCCGAAGATTATTCTCTTAATATGGTTTGTTTGTCGATTTGTGTTGTTTATTGTATCTTAAATATGGTTACAGATGAAAAAGATGAGGTCTTGAGTAATCCATTCATGACTTTACCAAACAAGAGAAAACTTCCTCTCTATTATGTTAGAATACGTGAACCCCTAGACTTCTCTACTATTGAGCAAAATATAAACTCTGGTCTGTACTGTAGCCTTGAGGCCTTTGATCAGGATATTTGTAAAGTGCTAAACAACAATTTAAGATTTTATGGTCGCACTACAAATTTGGGCATTGCATCTGTGAGACTGAAGAAAATTTACATGGATGCCAAGAAGGATGCTCATCCTCAACTTGTAGACGTGTTAGGCGAAGCTTTGCCAGCTTCTTTGGTTGCTGAAAAAGATCCAGGTATTAATTGCTGCCACTACTAATATACGCTATTTGCCTGGCCTGCTTTTGTGTTAATTTTGTATTTTGTTTTCATTATATTTTCAGCGGAAGAAGAGGAAGTAATTCGGTGCATCTGTGGGCTGTATCGCGATGAGGGAATGATGATTCAATGTGAACGATGTTTGGTGTGGCAACATTGTGACTGTGTCAAAGCTGACAGCAGTTTCGAACATTACCTGTGTGAGATCTGTCAGCCACGGCCTGTGGACTTAGAAATTGTCATGGAGCCACAACCAAATGATTCACCTGAAGGTCATGTAGAATACATCACACTACTAAGAGGTGATCTCCAAATTCGGCAAGGTATGTGCAAATCCCTTCATTGTCATGCTGTTAATATTTAAGTATTACAATTCATAATGAACCTTGTTTTGCTCTGTAGGAGATACCGTATATGTATTGAGAGATGGAACTGAAGGAGAGGGTGAATCTCAAGCCAAAGCTACTTATAAAACTGTCAAAGAGCCCAAATATGCTGATATGGATATTTACAGAATTGAAAGACTCTGGAAAGATGAAAGGCAAGTCCAGCTGAGATCCTCATGTCAAGAATTGCTGATAATTTATTATTGATCTAATTGTGTTTGTTTTTCTTTTCTTACAGGGGTGAGCGCTTTGCTTATGTTCACAACTATCTGTGGCCGCATGAAACATTCCATGAACCAACAAGGAAGTTTTATCCCAATGAAGTCATACGTGTTCCAAGATTTGAAATGATTTCCCTAGACCTCATTTGGGCTCGGTGTTGGGTTCTTGACCCAATGACGTATTGCAAAGGCCGTCCAATTGAGGCAATTGAGGAACATGTCTATATATGTGAATTCCGAGTGGACAAAAGTTGTCGCTTGTTCTACAAGATATCCAAAGCTCAGAGCCGAGCAAATCTATGCCTAAAGAGCTATGCCTTTGAAACATTTGAAACAAGACTTAAACCTGTCAGAACATACTCGGTATGCATACACACCTGGTTAAAATTTCTCCACAGCCCTTGGCTGACTGTCATACTAACTTTTCTACAATTTTCACAGCCACATGGCACTTTGCCCATCCCATCGCTAAAATCTCGAGGACGGGGAAATCAGGATGATGCAAGTTCCACCAAATCTATGCAGCACTCCCCTGCAGTCGCGCCAGAGGAGGAAGAGGAAGTGCCTCTTGCACGAGTAAGAGATACCGTTATTGCTGAAAAGGCATGTGCTAATTGCCCAAATCTTGTGCATTGCTTGCTTTTGTTTTACTCTTTTGTAGTTTGATGCCTCTCCCCTCTTCTAATTGCCTGCTGTCTTTTGACATTCAAAGCTCTGCATGGAGTGAAATTGTCATATTCATTGACAGCTGTTGAGGACATGTCAAGCTAACTGTCTTATTTTCATTGTTGCAGAGAGAAAAGCAGCGAGAGCATCTAAATGGAATTTTACTTCGTCTTCTTGCCAATCAACAATGTAAGCAGCCCCTGGATATCTCCTATCTGTTGGACCCTGGGAAGCGGCAGAGGAAAAAAACACTGAATACCTGAGAGTGGCTATTATAACCTGGTTGAGACATAACTGTTGAGGGCTTAGTGTCAAGCGAGTTTGGATCATGAAATCTTCTTGTTGTGGTAAATTTTTGATGAAGGAACGTTTAGTCTCAACTTGCCTCAGACGTATTTTCACTTCCCAGTCAGCATCATTTTGAATGTTTATATATTTATATATTTTATTGAGTGTTGAATCCCTTTTGCTGTTAGTTCTGCTCATTTATTATTTGTTTGAATAGAAATTTATTGATATTGTGGCATTTTGGTAGGAAAGAGTCTAAAATTTGTGGAGGAATATTTTTAACTTGCCTCCTCAACTTTCGTATATTTTAGTTGCCTATCTACTTCCTCCAAAAGGCTTATTTCGCTTCTCAGGCATCGCAATATAAAAATTTTAATGTTGATGTCGTTTGTACCTGAATTACAATGATCTCTGGGTTTTGCCAATCGTCTGAGAGCATGGGGTTATCAGCAGTAAACCAAAAACAAATAATGTCACCTGTTACATGACATGTGTATTATAGTGTAGATAATTTGTGTAGTTTGATCTTTGTACTTTTGGCAACATCATTTATGTGAAGCAAACATACGCAACGGTATGAACTTGTTTTAATGCTGAGTTAATAGATGTGATCATGTGATTTACCTGTATGATAAAACCGAAAGAAACAAATCAAATTTGTGCGCGTTGCTGATATCCTTGGCCAAGAATTAATGGTTATGAGAGTACAAATGATATTCGTTTTGAATCTAATGTGAACGCCATTGTCGTACTGATTAATATTAGATGTATATATTTAGTTAAGCAGAACTGTATTATTGTGCAAGCACGTGAAAGGCCTCTCTTGCTGGGGCAATTTGGATTATATTTTTATGCTAGTCATAATCAGTTTTACTCTTCATCTTTTTTTCCCTCTTTAAAACAGGAGTCAATAAACAAAATTTCGTAATTGTGGGACTATGTTGGTAGGCGACCACTTTTGCGCCAGTCTGTGAGAAAAATTAGCCTTTCTGCTGTTTTTACTAAAATTTTCCTCATTTTACTTTTCAACCAGTGCTGTCTTATCTTACTTGTAATGTAAATTTGCAGACACTTGTACAAAGTTAGAAAATGATACTGAGAAACGCATGTACTTCATATTTAATTGATTTGACCAGGAATTTGTGAACGACTCAATACTCTGTTGTGCTTTTTTGTCCTATTTTCTGGTTTTCTTACTTTCTTTTTGGAACAAGTAATTATAAGCTTCCACATTAGAGGGCAGTATACATCTGCAGCTTATTTGGCTGTGTGTATCAAAAAGAAACTAAGGACAGTAAATATGTATATTCAACTTCAATTAGATTTTTGTTGCTGATGTACATTTATAATTTAAGGATTAACTTAACTTGTTTTAATGTACATATTTTTCTGTGTACATATTTTAAGAAAATGTCGTCTGTAGCACTATTTAGTATTTATTATAATTTTTATCTTTTGCTGTTTTGATTATTTTTAATTGGGAATGCATTGTTTTCTTTTGCCCTTTCTGTCCTTTTCCCCTCTTCATGCAATGTTTTACCTTTTGTACTCTGCCAAATAAGCTTTTGTTTTATTATTATGAAATTACCAGTCTTTCTTATTATTTGATCAGTGTACTAACATAACATCACCTTTCAAACGTAACATTTTCATGTGCCGTATTATTCAACCATTGAGTGTAACATTGCCAGGTAATGAATCATGGTTGTGCAGTCATTAAAGAATGATTTTCTTCATTAATTTGCTTTATTTTGAGTCATCCTCTCATCAAAAAAATAAATAGAATAATTACCACACACATTCAGTCTTCCGAATTCAGTTCGAACTTCCATGCCAGAATCTTTAAAGTCATGTATTTCATGTGAAAAAAAAACACAATTTTAAAAACAGCCAACATTAAAGTCATCACTGTTTACAATGGCCCCTTTCTCATTGGATAAAATTACCCGCCGTGAGAGAGAACGAGTTTCCTTCCACAACGTCCATAAATAAGAGAAATAAATTACACCAACCTGACCTCCAACTCCAAGGGTGGATTTGCAGAGGGGGGCCTAGAAATCCCCCTGGGATGTAGGCAAAAGGCAACGCTTTGCCCCTCCCTCTGCTCGATTCTGGATCCGCCCTCGGCCTGGCCCTCGGGCTCACCGTCCGTACGACACCGAGTAGCCCATGCCGGCCAGGACGGCGTCGCGCAGCGCGGGCTGCAGCCTGCGCTCCATGTAGCGGGCCAGCAGCGTCCGGATGCCCCGCAGGAACACGTCCTCCATCTCGCCGCTCAGGTCGGCGCGGCCCACCTCGCCGTCCCCGTCGTCCTGGATGCGACTCTGAGCGCGCGCCGCTCGGTCGCGGTGTGGCTGGAGGGCTCTCCCGGTCGAGTTGTCCTGAAGGAGGAGAGGAGAAGAGTCAGTTCAGAACGGCAGTGAAACGTTAACGTTACTACGAATGTCTGACCCGGGTCGACATGAGCCTCGCGCACTGTAAAAATAAAGTGCCCCTCCGTAAGGCCGATTCCGGAATTCCGGATCCGCTCTTGCTGACAGTGCACTGACGCGCCAGCGCCGGTTACCTGGTAGAGATGCTGGCTGGGCTCCTCGGGCAGGTCGAGCACGTCGTCGGACCGGTGCTCGATGTGCGGCGGCAGGCCGGGCTGGCCGGGGCCGGCGACGCCGGGGCTCGGACACCCGTGCGCGTACACCGACACGAAGTCCGGGTCCACGAAGCGGGCGTCGGTGCGCACCTCGAGCGGCGCGGGGGCGGCCATGGCCAGCCCCTGGCGGCGGCCCATGGCGACGACGGGCAGCGGCAGGGCGGGGTGGCGGCCGGGCGCGGCGGACAGTGCAGGCACCGCCGGCAGGGCCGGCACCGCGGTGAAGCCCAGGCCGGCGCGTCGGAGGCGCAGCGTCATCGTGCACGCCCCCGCCGGCACCAGCCGCACCGCGTCCTCGTACAGCTTGACGTGCCCCGTGACCGTCAGGTCGCGGAACAGCAGGCGCGTGTCCAGGCTGTGGTTGTGCGCGTCGAACTGGCACCGCTCCACGCGCACCTGCAGCACGAACACAGTCATCCAAGTAAACCGATTCCGAGTCGCTCTCGTCGACCCTGCGCAGCATCGCCAACGCACTACTTACCCATCCCGTCTGGCCGGGCACCCGCACGCGCATCCCCGTCACGTACATGTCGTAGGGCGCGGAGCGCAGCGGCTGGTGCAGCGCGTAGCCCGCCAGGTCGATGGTGGCCTGGCTGCCGGCCTGGTTGGCGTGCCCCGAGCGCGAGCTGGCCGACCGCCGCATCGAGTCCAGCTCGCGCTGCACGCGGCGCGCGCACCGCGCCCCGCCGACGTCGCCGGCGCCGAGCGCGTCGCCGAGCTGGTCGCCCAGCAGCAGGCCGCCGTCCGTCAGGATGCCGACGACGCCGCGCGCCGCCAGCACCAGCAGCAGCACCGTCACGGGGGGCATGTCCGCCTGGAGGATGCTGGAACCTGAACCTGCAACAGCGCAATAGCGAATCGTCAGCGGACTGATTCCGAGGGTCGTTTTCGTCGCTCTGTCTCTCTCGCGCTCACAGGGCACCCCGTTTGGGTGCGAGAAAGGCAGAGCGACGAAAGCAACCCTCGAATCAGTCGGCAGAGACACTGCAGAGGACAATGCGCCCGCGCCCGAAATGGCATACGACCGACCATGTGTGGTCTAGCCTCCAATGGTAATAGTGATGGGTAGGCAGTCCCGTCGAACTGGCAAGTGTTGCGGGACAGCCTAGCCGCGACTTCGCAGGCGGCGGCGCGGCGGCGCAGCGATTCCGAAAGATCGCTTTGTCGCTCCGTCTCTGTCGCACTCAGGGGGCGTTCCGTACGGGTGCGAGAGAGACAGACCCATCGGAGTGCGCGCACTCTGGCCGCCACTGCGTTCAAGCGGTTCAAGCCCGCCGACACACAGTGAGCCAGAAGGCCGGTGGAGGCGGTCAAAATCCCGGACGCATTTTGAGCTCGAGCCGCTGTGCCGTACTACCATGGCCCACTGTGAGGAACCGGTGGGAACCAGTGCCCAAATGACCGAGTGCGACAGTGGCCCCCGCCGGTCCTGGCATTCCTGCGTCCCGCCGACCGGGACGCAGGCGATGCAGGCGGCGACGCAGGAGTCCGGACCAGGTCGGCGACCACACGCCACAGTCATGCCGTGACGGGAAGCCCGCCACTGACAATGAGCGCCACCACTGCAACGGCGCGGCTTTCGTCGCTCCGTCTCTCTCGCACCCAGGCGGGGCGGGCGGGACGTCGCGCGAGTGCGAGAGAGACAGAGCGCTGGCTGTGCTTTATGCAGTGAAAGTGGCCCTTGCCCTCCGCGCTTGACTGCTTGACCGGCCGCGTGCTCCGTGCTCCGCGTGCATGCGGGGTGCAGAGCAGAGCCTCCGTCCCGTCCCGTCGCCGCCCCCTCGTCCGGGATGTGCCCGTGGACCCGCGACGCCCTCGGCTGTGACGACGACAGTGGCCCTTGCAGTGGCCGGCACGGGCAGCAAGGCGTCGCGGAGCTCGGCCGCCGCGCAGTGGGCCAGAAGACCGGCGCCGTCGGCCAAAAACTCCAGACGCGTTTTGAGCTCCAGAGTCGTTGAATAGGACTCGAACCGAACGTGTGACTCCACCAATGGACTCCTCGTTCGGGGAGCATTCCATCGGTGGGGGTCACACATTTGGTTCGAGTCCCATTCAGCGACTCTGGAGCTCAAAACGCGTCCGGGATTTTGACCGCCTCCACCGATCTTCTGGCCCACTGTGCGCCGCGCAGCACCCCGTCGGCCTCCACGCCAAACGGCGGCATCGCGATGCTCCACATCGAGTTGGAGGCGGCGCCTTTCTTCCCCCACTCGGCCTTCCACAGCATCAGCAGACTTGGCGCAGGGTCGTTTTCGTCGCGCCGTCCCTCTCACTCTCCGGGAGCGTCCCGTGTAGGTGCGAGGGAGACAGAGCGACGGAATGGACTCTCGGAATCAGTCCGCACCGCAGCGACAAGGATAAGGGATAATCGCCCGGCCTTGATCTGCGGCCCTTGATCGCGGAACAACGTTCACCTGGCTGGACATGGAGTAGTGCCTCTTCTTCGTGACTGATATTGTCGCGCTCCGAACTGGGGCGTGGCAGTGCAGGTGCGACACCTGCCCGGGGGGGGGGGGGGGCTTTCCCCTTCGGGAGAGGACCGTGACGACGCCACGGTGCGCCACGGTGCGCCGCGGCCACGGCGCGGAGGAGGCACGGCCAGGCACGGCGACATGCCGCCTGCAGACTGATCCGAGAGTCGTTTTCGCCGCTCTGTCTCTCTCGCGCTCATAGGGCGTTCCGTACAGGTGCGAGAGAGAGAGACAGAGCGACGAAAACGACTCTCGGAATCAGTCTGCTGGCCGCCATCTCGGGGGATAAAAGCTAAAAAGGGAGCTTTCTCTGCGACGGCCACACCGAGGGCCGAGGGACAGACAGCGGCAGGGGAAGGATCGTTTCGCCTCTCTGTCGCACGCGCAGGGCGTCCCGCCTGGTCCCGCCGGGGTGTGCGAGAGAGACGGAGCGACGGCTCTTTGGAACCAGCCGGTCCGGGGGACGGCGGCGGCACGGTGGCACATGCCGTTGTTTAAGCAAAAACGAGACAAAAGGCGACGGAAAGAAACGGGGGCAATTTTGGCGAAAAGGCGCGGTGGACGCGGAGCGTCGGGACGGTCGGGACGCCGGCGTGGAGGAAAGAGAAAGGGTGACGGGAAAGGCCTTTGCGGCGCGAGGCGCGAAGCAAAGCGATCCAAATCGATGGACCGCTGTAAAGCCGAGAGTCGTTTTCGTCGCTCTGTCTCTCTCGCACTGATGCGGCACGCCCCATGAGTGCGAGAGAGACAGAGCGACGAAGCATCCTTGAGAATCGCTCGGTTGCTCTCTGCTGCACTGGCAACCCGACTGGCCTGCTGATTGTGTCCCGCTGTATTTCCACGTCGTCCAACCCGTGTTGCAGTAACAAGGGGCGGTTATGGTGCCCGCCCCAAGCCCGCCCCGCCCCGCCCCGCCCCGCCCGCTCCGCCCGCCCCGCCCGCCCCGCCCCGCACGCCTCGTTGGGCCACAGCGTGTGATCACCGAGGCAGAGTCTTCGCGGCGAGTGGCGTAATGCCGCATATATTGTGGCGTTTGTTCCGAGGTTCCGAGTTGCGAGCAAAGCGGAGCAGAGGCCCTGCCCCGTCCTACGCACCGCGCCGCGCCGTGCCGGCCGTGCCGCGCTTTCCCTGGGACTTCCCTGTGCTGTTCCCAGAGGCCGAAACATCGCACCCCGGCATCGCCTAGCCGCGGTCTTTCGTCAGTGTGTTCCCAGCGCGTGCTGTTAACTACACTGGGCTTTTCCGAACAGCGTCGCGTCGCTCTGTCTCTCTCGCACCTATGTGGCTCGCCGGCTCGCCCGACGAGTGCAAGAGAGACAGGGCAACGACCGCAGCGTTGTGCGGAGTAGCTCGTCCTTTTGGAACGGGTTGACGTGGGACGCGTATCGACCGGAGTTGCCGCCCGGGACGACTTTAAATAAATCTGCTTGCATGTGCGGTTTTTCAGGAAGCCCCCTTCCCTTCCTATTCTCCACCCCTTCGCAACACGCGAAGCCCGAGACTCCGCCTTCAAACGCGATCGGAATTTTTTTTTCCGGAATCCAGGCAAGTCAGTCCACCCCCATGTCATTTCCTAGTTCGTGTTTCGTTTATTTCTAGGATCTCTAGTGAAACAGTAACTACATCATTAATCACGCAAATGCGAAGACGTCCTCGAGGTGAGGGTCGATCGCCGTCCGCCAATCACAGTCTCCAGTTCAAACTGTTGGCCAATCAAATTGACATTACCTGGCTGGTCTCGGCGTCCGCAGCCAATCCGGAGCTATCCACTACACTGTTTCTTCTTCACGGTTCCTTCGTCTTCCCCAGCACTCTGGCACACTGCCGGCACTCGGCACGCTGTACGCACTGTTCGCACTGTTCACAATGGGTCGCTCCACTGTTCACCGTTCCCTTCGCAGGCTTTTGGCCGTCTCTCTCGCCGGCGCGTGCCTCTGGCAGCCTCGGGCCCGGGGGACTCCGGGCGCTGTAGAAGCCGCCCGCCTGGACTTCCCCCTCTCCTCCCTCCGGCCCCCTCTCCACGGGTCTTCCCTGGACCCGCGCCTGTTTTGGCGGCACCCACACTGTGGATTTTCAAACTCGTCAGACCCGAGCCGCGCATTCCAGGTGGTTTCTGGGTCGGATTTGTGCCGTTTTCACTGACGATAGCGTCGTTCTCGAGTTCTGCGGCGTCTGCAGCGGCGCCGACTTCGAACTCGGCCCCGCCCCGCCCCGCCAGAATGGATGGAAAATTGCGCGGCTGCCGCAACGCACGCCGCTGACGCTCGCCTTGCCTCCCCCGCGCAGGAAGGTTCAATCGGGCTGCTGTCATCGGCTGCCGGCGACCCCCGTCGGTCGCAGCCCATCGCGGGACTCGCCCTTTTGGTCGCCGAGGACCCCAAAGAGCGCAGGGACTTGCAGGGACGGCTGTGGCCGGCCGCCGCGGTTCGCCGCTCAGCTGTTTCGAGGCGTCTGCTGGCCACTTCCGCCGTGTCGTGTGAGGGAGCGCCACAGTCGCGTCGGAAACGAGACGGGAGTCGCTCTGTCCTTTTTCTAGCGACGCGGCCGCTGGAAACTCTTCAAGACGGGTCTGCCACGTCTTGGAGGCGCCTAAACTCACTTAATTTTCTTTTTTCAGCGAGGTATACGTTTCCGTTGGAATTTTGAGGCGAAGCACACCCCGCGCCGTCAGCCAATCAGAGCTCGCCGCCGCCCCGATTCCGAACGCGGCGCTGCTGAGCTGCTGTGCGCACGTGCAGTGGTAGTCTGCTAAAGTTTCGATCTCATAGACTCGCGGTGTGAGTGTGAAATACATGTGAATATGGCTCTTGGCTCCGTCGCGGACAATGCAAACGGTGTCGAAGTGAAGCAAGAGGAAAGCAACGCCAACAATGACTCCGCGTCCACGACCAATTCCGGTTAGTGGCGAAATGTGGAGCGACTTTGAGGCGCCGAGCACCGGGTTTCGTCTGATGTAACTGGCCATCAAGGGAGGAGGGGTCGAAGTGCGATCATATGAACGGGACGGCAAGTCGCCGTTTTCCCTGTCTGCAATCGTTGTCATTTGAATTGCGGGCTTGCTGCGCTGTTTGCGGCCCGTCGGAGTCCCGGTTAACTCAGGGCACGGCCCGTCGGTGGAAGTGGACTGTGGGTTGCATTTTTCTGGAGGTTATTGGAAGGGCGAAAACGGCTCTTTTCTTTTCCAGTTTCATTCTCGTAGATTTCATTTTTGTGGTGAAAATTTGGTTGCTGGCAACATTTTTGTTGGGTTCTTACTGTATTATTACAGTGCCATGCTCTCGCACTTTTTCTGTGGCGTAAAGTTTTGCTGAGATGTGTCCATAGTGTGTTTACCATGTGTAGCCTTTCTTGAACTCGGATGAAATCTTAGAGTGTCGCAACTTTATTCTGTTGATTACTGGGTTATCTTCTCGCCTTGTACAGAAATGCCAGGCTGTATTTTTACAAGTCACCATCTTTGTACCAACCGCAAGTTTCTATAGTTCATTTTAAAATGACGCCGAGGGGACCAGGAAATATTCAACATTCTCATCTCTAATTGCTTCATTACTTTTAAAGTAATTCAAAGAAATATGAATTGTCTCTAATCAAAGCATCCTATGGTTGTATGAAATTGTCATACATTTCATTGAGCTGTTTTAAGCCTTGTAAATTTATAGATCTTATTAAGTAATTTTTTGCGAGATTCTGTGACTTGCTCGTACATAGTGGGATACATATATTGTGACTTCGAGAGATCTTTGTGACATTTTGATTGCTCCGATGTTCTTTTGAAGAAAAGAAATGCCTTTCAGTCAGAAAAATAATTAAGAAATTATCGTGACCATTTGAAACACCTTCTGTCCTCTTACTAATTCATTCAACTGTTCATCCAGTTTTTTGAAATTTCTGCAGTGTACCATAAAAGGCTAATGAGTACCCTTAGAGTAGAATCTTTCCATTCAACCAAAGACTGTGGAATAATACGTTCCATTCATTGTGCCAGTAACGTATTTCCTTAGACTCCGGCAACCATTTTATCACATCTGCTAGAACAGAAGCAGTACCAAAGGATCATAGGAGACGGAAGTGAATGACCAGGAAATGGACGCCTGTTTGGTCCATTAGTGTTTCATCTCATTCACACCGCTCAACAAAGTGTTGATTGATTGAGTGAGTGAACGAAGGAAGAGAGATGCGTTGGCTGCAGCTCTGCACTCTGCTGCACTCTGCACCCCACCTGGGCCCTGCCTGAAGGTGCAGGTCCTTGCCCCTGGCGAGGCCGGTCCGGTCCGCGTTGTCGTCTCTGTCCCACTCGCTGGGCCCGGGACCCAGGAGGTAAGCCCACGGCCCGTCCCTTCGCCCCTGCTCCCTTCGCCTGCCTCTGCCTCGCCTCGCCTCGCCACCCCGCGGCTTGGCACCGCTCGGCACACGACGGCACACGCCGCGGCCGCGGACCGCGTGGAGGCTGGCGGGCAGGCAGGCAGGCAGGCAGCACAGGCAAGCCCCTCGGACCCTCTTCCCTCTTCCCAGTTTGCGTCTCGTCTCGTCACATGTGCTGCGCCGCTGCGCCGCCGCGCCGCCTCTGGGCCTCTGCTTCCCGCCTCGCGGCTCGTCGCGGGCCTGCCTGCCTAGGCCTGCCGAGCCGAGCGACTCAAAAGTCGCGCTGTCTCTCTCGCACTCATGGGGCTCTCCGTAAGGGTGCGAGAGCGACTATCCGATCCTCGGCTGCCGCCTTGCTGATGCTGTCTCTGTCGCGGCCAAGCCCCCCCTCCCCTTCCCCCTCTCCTCGCGGAAGCGCGGCGTGGCTGCAAGTGCAAGTACTCGCGGGCCGCGGCCGCGCGTCTTTTTGCGTACTGCCTATCTGGCGGCAGGTGGCGGCGTGCAGTGGGCGGATTCGGAACAGTGCGTTCGTCGCGCCGTCTCTCTCGCACTCGTGTGGGGCGTTGAGGGGTGCGAGGGAGACAGCGCGCTGTCCGAGGCGCCGCGTAGAGCGGGCGGGTGTCGCACAGTGGGCCAGAAGAACGGTGGAGGCGGCTAAAAGTATAGACGTGTTTTGAGCTCTAGAGTCTCTAAACAGGACTCGAACCGAACGTGTGACCCCACCAATGGATTGCTCTCCGACCGAGGAAGCCATTGGTGGGTCACACGCTCGGTTCGAGTCCTGCTTAGCGACTCTGGAGCTCAAAACGCGTTAAGAGTTTTGGCCGCCTCCCTCGGTCTGGCCCACTGTGTGTCGGTGAAGGGGCGCAGGCTGGCGCAGGCGGCCCTGCCCTGCCCTGCCCGGCCGGCGCCGCGCTCTCGTTCTCGTTCTCTCTCCTTTTCTTATCGGGGCGGCTTTCGCTCTGGCTTTCCTTGTCTTCCCGGGTCGTTGGCATGTCGGCCTGGCCGGCTCGCTGGCCGGCGGCCGGCACGGAGTTCGGGCGGGCCGCCGATAAACGATCGCGGAAAAGGGATGTTGTCCGTGGATTGCGGATCAAGGTTCGCGTTGGGCGACGCTCGTCCACCCACGTGCCCGTCGCACCCACGTGGTGCCCCCCCCCTCCCACCCCTTTTTCCCTGGGGGAGGGGCGGCGCCGAGCGCACCCCGCCTCTGGCGCCCTTGAGTCCTACGGCCCTGCGGCTTGCGGCGTCTTGGCCCCGTTCCGTGAGGCCTCGAGCCTCGTGGTGCCGGCCTGCCGGTGTGGTGGTCTTGGCCGCCACTCGGCGGAGCCAGCTCTTGTCAGCCTGCCGAGCGTCGCTGTCTCTGTCCCACTCAAGGGACGCTCCGTGCGTAGGTGTGTGAGAGAGAGAGACGGCGCGTCAAACCGCTCTTGTTCTGAATCCCACGGCTGCACGCGACCCGTCCATCCCACGACGCGTGCCGCTTGCTGCCCTTTATCGTCGCTGTCTCTCTCGCACTCGAGGGCCGTCCCGCGTTGGTGCGAGAGAGACAGACTCTGCTGCTGCACCTCGGCAAGAAGTGCGGCGCCGTTAGTCGGTTGGGCCGCGGGTACGCGGTGTACGCGCGGTGTACGCGCACATGTCGCCCCGCTGCATTTTGATGACCTCATCCAGGAGAGGGGGACGGGGCCGTGCCCTAGGGCATACCGTTGTCTCGGCGCTCTCGGCGTGGGTCATGGTGGAAAGGGGGGGGGGGCTTGGGGCCCTCCGAGCGTGCTTACGCCTTTTTTGATCAGGTCGCCCCGTATCTGAATAACTCTACCAGTGCCGTGGTCCCCGCCCGCTACTTCGGTGTGGCCGTGTGGCCCCGGTGCGGGGTACCCGGGTACCCCACGTTAGCCCCTAGCAACTTGGCACATGCGCTGCCTGCCTAGCCGCCCTGCCGTGCCCTGCCGTGCCGTGCCCTGCCGTGCCGTGCCCTGCCGTGCCTAGCCCAGCGCCGCCCAGCGCAGCCCCCAGACCCAAAATAACGCCTGTCTTACCGCACGGCCATAGACTGACTGGCATGGCATGGCGAGCATGGCGAAGCAGGGCCCACCCCTGCCCTACACGCACACACACACACACACTCGCACACACAGGCACGCGCACACACGCACACCCATGCAGGGGCGGCGTCGCCAGGTCAGGTCGCTCCCCTGGCCCCCTTATCTTTTTTCCCTGAGCCCCGCGCCGCCTCCCTCCAGGCGTCGGCGGGCGTCGGCGTCCACGACTGTCTGCCTGACTGTGTCACCGGGTTGCCGGCTCTGGTCCTGGCGGATGCTCGCCAGCCAGGCCTGTGTCGCTGAGGCAGCAGACTGATTCCGAGAGTCGTTCTCGTCGCTCTGTCTCTGTCGCGGCTATGCGGTGCGCCCCTTGAAGCGTGCGAGAGAGACAGGGCGACGACGCTCGGAATCAGTCTGCAGGCTCGTCTAGGCAGTCTAGGCCAGGCCTTGAACTGGAGCCCCACCACCGTCCCATCCGTCCCGCCGCCACGCCGACAGTGGACTCTTCGCGAGGTCCGCGCGATTTGCACGAGAGGGAGAGGGAGGGGGGGGGTGTCAGCTGACCGCGACTAGCTGTCCGCGCGCTCCTATCGGCGACGGTAGTTGTGCTGCTGGCTGATTCCGAGAGTAGAATTTCGTCGCTGTCCCCCTCGCACCTTTCGAGACGTCCCATAAAGTGCGAGAGAGATAGGACGACTCTGGGAATGAGTCTGCTGTCATAGCGCCGGGCGAGAGGCCATGCTGGATGTGTGCATGTGGACGGTGGACCCGTTTGATGCGATTGCCGCTTCCCCCGCGAGGCACTTCCCTCCCCCTTCCTCCTAGTGCTCCAGGCGCTAATCAGCTCAATTAGTCCTGCGGTGCGGGCAGGGCCAGGCCGGGCCAGGCCTGGCAGTGTCGGCGCGCGGAGACGCGCAGCCCAAGCACATCCATGTTGTCGCACACGGCCAGCGCGAGCAAGGCATGCCTGGGGCAGCCAGGGGTAACCCAGGGCCAGAATGGCCAACTCTCGTTGTCGGAAACTAGATGATTTATTGCGGTGGCCTAGAGCGGACTAGAGAGAGGACTAGAGAGGACTAGGGAGGCCCAGAGAGGATCTAGCCTAGAGAGGCCTGACCCCTGCCTTGTTATCAGATGAATGGTGGACGGCCATGCGACAGCAGCGATGGCTGTGAGCAGGCATTGCAATCCAGCGCGGCCGCTGACCCTGCCAGTGCACTGCAGTGACGTGCACTGTCCACTGCAGCCGATGCACTGTGAATCCTGGGCAAGGGTCGGGGAAGGCAATTTTCAGGGGCGGTGTTGCTTCGGGTGGTGAGCTCAGGACTCGTTTCCATATCCTAATCGAGTGTTCTGTCTGTTTCAGGAGCCACATCTGCTCAAGATTTGAAGAAGAAACTGAAAATGAAACAGCACCTGAGCAACGGGCACGCAGACACTCCAGTAAACGGAGCCCCGGAGGAGAACAACAATGCCGGAGGGAAAGAAGTGAACGGAGTGCACAAGTCGAAAAAGAACAAGAAGAATGCAGAGCCAGAGGAAACAGGGGCGGAGGAGGACACTTCCAAGAAGGACGAGCAGGAAGTGGTCTTCATTCAAGACATGGGGTTCACTGTCAAAATAGTCAGCCCCGGCATTGAGCCTTTTGACATCCAGGTATTTGTAGTGAACAATTTTCCCCTCCTTCAAATTTTTATTTTAAAATTTGCTGTAGCAAAGTCTTGATATTTTTGTGTTACAGGTTTCAAGCATGGAGCTTGTTCAGGAAATTCACCAATTGCTGATGGACAGAGAAGACACTTGCCATCGCACTTGCTTCAGCCTTCAGCTTGATGGGACCACACTTGATAACTTTGCTGAGCTAAAAAATATTGAGGGTCTTTCAGAAGGATCCGTTATCAAAGTAAATGACGCAAAATTTTATGAGTGAAATTTATTGTGTCTAGCACATTTTTTCTATTTTTTTTAATTCCCTTATTTTTGTTTTTTTCCAAGGTTGTTGAAGAGCCTTACACAATGCGGGAAGCTCGTATTCATGTTCGACATGTCAGAGACCTTCTTAAGTCTCTGGATCCTGCAGATGCCTACAATGGTGTGGATTGCAGTTCTCTTGCATACCTAAATGTGGTGACACAAGGTGATATCATGGAGAAAAAGAAATCTCGACCCGAGAGTGTGGACTGCACTCCACCAGACTTCATCATGCCTGGAAGCAGTGATCGACCCCTTCTTCCCATCCAGCCTCAGCACAAAGAGCAAAAGGGACCTCAGTGCGTAAAAGTTCTGACAACTTCTGGTTGGAATCCGCCACCTGGCTACAGGAAAATGCATGGAGATCTCATGTACCTGTACGTTGTTACTCTTGAAGACAAGCATTTCCACATCACTGCTTGCTCAAGAGGATTCTTTGTTAACCAGTCTTCTGAGGAGGAATTCAACCCGAAGCCATCTTCTCCAAGCCATCTCTCTCACTCACTAATCGAGCTAATGAGTCAAACAAGCCCTGCCTTTAAACGAAATTTTGCTTCACTTCAAAAGAAAAGGACACAGAGGCATATTTTCGAGAGAGTTGCTACCCCGTATCAGCTTTATGCCTGGTGTGCCCCTCAAATGGAGCACACTGTTGATGCTATTCGAGCAGAGGACACCTTCTCATCCAAGCTTGGCTATGAGGAACATATTCCTGGTCAAACTAGGGATTGGAATGAAGAGCTCCAAACTACTCGTGAACTGCCCCGTAAAAACCTCCCTGAAAGATTGTTGAGAGAAAGGGCAATATTCAAAGTGCACAGTGACTTTGTCGCTGCTGCAACACGAGGTGCCATGGCAGTCATTGATGGCAATGTTATGGCAATTAATCCTGGGGATGAGTCTAAAATGCAAATGTTTATCTGGAACAACATTTTCTTTTCACTTGGCTTTGATGTGAAGGATCACTACAAAGAGTTAGGGGGAGATGCTGCTGCATTTGTTGCTCCTCGGAATGACTTGCAAGGTGTGCGTGTCTACAGTGCAGTTGACTTGCCTGGATTGTACACTCTTGGAACTGTTGTCATTGATTACCGTGGTTACAGAGTCACTGCTCAGTCCATCATTCCTGGAATTTTGGAAAGAGAGCAAGAGCAGTCAGTTGTGTATGGTTCAATTGATTTTGGTAAGACTGTCTTGTCCCACCCAAAGTACATGGAATTGCTTGCCAAAGCTGGACAACAATTGAAAATACAGCCTCACAAAGTTTTGAATGACAAGAGTGAAGTTGTTGAGCTGTGCTCTTCAGTGGAATGTAAGGGAATCATTGGTAATGATGGACGCCATTACATTCTTGACCTGCTGCGTACCTTCCCACCAGATGTGAACTTCCTGAAGTTGCCTGGTGAGGAGCCCCTCAGTGATGATGTCAAAGCATTGGGCTTCCCAATTGAGCACAAACATAAACTGTGTTGTCTTCGCCAGGAGTTGATTGATGCCTATGTTGAGTCTTGTTATCTGAAATTCATCAAGTATGCAGCTGTTCATCTTCAACAGTTGGGAAGGAAGCAGCAAGAGCGCAAGCAAATTGAATCTGCTAAGGAGAAGGCTATTAATGAACAAAACCTCAAAGAATCTGATGATTCTGACAAGAAGGATGCTGAAAAGAAGGAAGCTAAGAAAGACACCAAAGATGACAAAGAGAAAGATAGTGAACTGGAAGCTGATGAGGCGAAGAAGCTTGTGGAAAGCATTACGGACTCTCTCACCAATGGAGACAAGAAAGATTTAGAAGAAAGTACTAGGTCTATTGTTCGACAGGCTGCTGAGCATGTTGGCTCATTGAAGGAAGCGGAGTTTGACATCAGTTTTAATCCTGATGTTTACTCCCCTGGTGTTCAGCATGTCAATGCCGATGGCCCTCAGCTCAAGAAGGAAAGACACCTTGTAAGAGATGCTGCTCGCTTCCTAGTTACGCAGCAAATCCCCGGCTTTGTGAGTATTTATTATTCTCATCTCCTCTTGCACGAATAGTTGTGGTTCTCATTACTATCTTGTTATTTTGCATTGAACAGATTCGTGACTGTTTGGATCATTCAATGCCCATGATGGATGGCCCTACACTTGCCGAAACTCTCCACACCCGAGGCATTAACATTCGCTATCTTGGTAAGGTGGCGGACCAGCTGGCTAGTGTGCAGCAGCTTGAGTACTTGTATCACATTGCCGTCAGTGAACTGGTGACCCGCTCAGCCAAGCATTTACTGACTACATACATGCAGTCCGTTGAGCTCATGAGCCTTTCAGCGGCAGTGAGCCACTTCCTAAACTGCTTCCTGTCTTCATGCGCTGTACCGCATGCCCAGCAAGTGCCTGAAGAGGTTGGTATTTTTTGACAGAAGTACATCATTGCACCCACTTGAATGAAATGGCAAGATAAAATTTGTTCTGATTTCAGCTTCAAGGCCGTTCCAAACGCCGTAACAAAAGGAAAGGGAGAGGTGGAAATTCCCTGCATTCCTCTGATGTAGAGTGGGCTGCCTTGACTCCGACCTCTTTCTGGAAACAGCTCAGAGCGGAACTTAGGTCATACTATGGCTGGACTCTTCCAGTCGACAGTATTGATGCACTAGTAGCAACCTTCAGCATCCAGAAAATCTCTCTTTTGAGGTAAAACTTCATCTTACTTTCTAACTAGTTACTAAAATTAGGAATTTTGTATAATTCTTAACTAATTATTTTCCCCTGCGCTTTGGCATTCTTTTTTTTAGGTCATTCTGTATTAAAACAGGCATTCAAATTCTTTTGCGAGAATACCTCTTTGATTCCAAGAACAGGGTAACATTCTTAGAAGAAGACATTCTTAATATCTTCCCAGTGGTGAAGCACATCAATCCGAGGGTATGTTATGTCACTTTTGACTTTCTTTTGCTCTGAAAATTTAAGTTGTCAACAAATTTTTATTCACATTGTCTTTTTTGCAGGCAAGTGATGCTTACAATTTCTACACTACTGGTCAGAACAAAATTTCCCAAGGCTATATGAAAGATGGATATGAACTAATTTCTGAAGCATTAAATCTTTTAAACAATGTATACGGTGCTATGCATCCAGAAATTGCTCAATGTCTGCGAATGCTAGCACGTCTTAGCTATTTAATGGGAGAGCACTCTGAGGCCTTGGCATACCAACAGAAGGCTGTCCTCATGTCTGAGAGAGTAAATGGCATTGACCATCCAAACACTATAACAGAATATGTAAGTTGTCTATCCTTAGAAGAACAAATAACAATAAGTTTTCGTTTCATGGTCTTTAAAAATTGACTTTTGAATTTGAATTATTATTGTTTACAGACCCACTTGGCTTTATATTGCTTTGCAAACAGCCAAGTCAGTACAGCATTGAAGCTTCTCTACCGTGCCCGCTACCTAGCTCTTCTTGTTTGTGGAGAGAACCATCCTGAAATAGCGCTTCTTGATGTAAGAATAATACTTTTATTTTAGAGTGCTATCAATCTTTTATGATTAAATTCTTATTTGTATTTTTCTTCTTTGCAGAGCAACATTAGTTTGATTCTTCACGCTGTTGGAGAGTTTGAACTGTCTCTGCGTTTCTTAGAAAAAGCATTGTCCTTAAACATCAGATATTATGGGGCAAATTCCATCAAAGTGGCAGTCAGCTACCATCTTGTAGCTAGAACACAGAGTTGCATGGGTGACTTCCGGGCAGCCTTAAACAGTGAGAAGGAAACATATGCCATTTACAAACGCCAAGTATGTCATAATTTGTAACAAAAAAAACAAACTGCAAACAATTATGATAAAGTAATAAAATTGATGATATTTATTGTATTAACATGGTCATTGTTCTGTTCAGCTTGGTGAGGATCACGAAAAGACCCGGGAGTCATCAGACTGCTTACGACATCTTACCCAGCAAGCTGTGGTTCTTCAGAAAAAGATGAACGAAATTTACACTGGCAAGCCAGGTGCCAGCATGCCACCAATTCAGATCCAGCCACCATCAATGGGTTCAGTCCTAGATATGCTCAATGTCATAAATGGCATTCTCTTCCTACACATTAGGTTTGTAAAGTAACATGGCTAAATATTAAAACCTTTTTTTTTTTACTTCAACCACTAGACCATTTTGCTTCATTCTTTCCACAGCCCGCATGATATTGAAATTTTGAAGGCTGAAATGGAGAAGAGACAGCCCACCAGTCCTCTGAATTCAGAAGAGAAGGCGGCCATTGAAGATAAGGGAGGTGAAGAGAACCAAGCTGTACCAACCAAGAAGACTGATAGTGATACTGCGGTGGTTGCATCAAGCTGAGGTGAAGTCAGCAGCCATTGGACTAGCGACCTGAACAATTTTGACTGCAAAAATATTAACACTTTGCTGCGGCCTCCATTTGAGGTAAACTTGGTAGCCATCATACTGCAACCTGAACAATTTTTGCATCAGCAGGAATGAACATGCAACGCAACACCCATCTCAGTACTTGTGTGCTTTGTAAGAAATGTTAGTTTGTCCTCCAATTTTTATTGATCTATGACTCATGGCAACTGGTTTGTGAGCTCTTGTGGAGCAAAATAATTGTTACTAAAGTTTTAGAGCAAATTAATGTTATGTAATGTTGAGTTGGAAAGAGCTTATTTTAGCTTGCTCTGCCCACACTGATTTGTGTGGCTGTTTAACTGTTATAACAGAGTTGCGAAACTCTACCACTCAGAAGTTATTTGTAGAGAGCGTTTGTTAAACACACCAAATCTTTTACCTAGTTTTGAATTGTTGTTTGCTTGAGCCGTATATTATTGGCTCAACAATGTTGTTGTCATTGAGGTGCTAAGACAAATAATTGTTTTCAGTTACATATTGTTATCTTAGGCTGATAGAATTGTAAATGTGTGCACATGATCAGTTAAAATGTGCAGGTGGCCTTATTGCTTGTTTGTATTGTGATATGTGTGCACATGGGTGCCAGCCTGTAGTGTAAGTTGTACCCTGTTCCCTAGATAATAGAATTCAACAAGATAGTTTTTATAATGTTGCCTTTTTATAGTTTTAGAATTATATGCATTGGTATTGAAGGCATAATGAGCACTGAAGCAATAATGTGATTCTCTGGCCTTAGTTGTCATTGCTTGTCATCCCGTCATAAATGTCAGCCATTCTCATTGATTACCAACATCACTAGCCATTAACCACAATAGATTTGCCAAAGGTCCCCTCCCCTTTTTTTACCCCTTTTTTTTGTTTTTCTTCTGTATTACTTTGCTTGTTCAGATTATCATGCACGGTGGGGCAAGTTTGAGAGCAAAATCGTTTGCATTGCGTTAAAGTGTTAAGTGTGCTGAGAGGAGTGTATCCACTCCTTTGCCTGGCCTTGCAGCTGGGCAGTAGTCATGAAGAGTAGGTTGTGGTAGCCATTTTAGTGTAGTCCCTGTGTTGTAGTGATTGTATTGTGTTATTGAATTGGTTAACATTCCACCTTGGTTGGTGTAGGGTGATGGAGACAAACATTGTCCGACACCACCAATGCCGCGACTGTTGACCCCCATGACTTGACGCCAAATGATGCATCAGACAGTTTGATCGTTTGCGCTGAAGAGATAAGTTTTTTTTTTTTTTTTTTTTTTGAAAATTCCTGTTTTAATGCAAAAATCTTCCAGAAGGATCCAATATTGTTTTTATTTGTTATATATTAACACTGTATTTCAATTGTGATAATGTCTGGCAAGTGAGCGCTTTATATTTTTCATGTAGAATATTGTAAGTTGCTCAGTTAAGTACCAGAAATGTAATACCAATGTTGAGTTTAAGCGAGGGTTAGCATTTGAATTTTCTGAAATGGTGGCCTTGATTAAGCAACTGATTTGAAAACAGCAATTATTTTTTGTTTGTAGTAGGCTTTCTGAGTTTTACGTAATTTTAAATCATCATCAGTCATGAAGTCGCATCAGCTACTTATTTGAATGCTGCTCATTCATTGCTTATGGCAATTTCAATGGGAGAAAGCATATCATTTCATTGTAAAAGCTCGAGCTTCTTCAGTGCCAATGGATTTATTGCGACCTGTGTTACCTTCCGTTATTATGTGGTTGCCAGTGGGCGGTTTCCCAAAGAGACTTGCCGTTTCATTGCACTTTAAGTGGTGGGTAACTTTGTCTTTGTGATTAGTACATAAAATTATTTTTGTTTAAGGATCTCTAGGAGTTAGATTTTAATCTATCTGGAAAACTACTCAAAGAACTGATAATTGCGAGGATGTTTAATAAGGTTTTATTGAGTTGGCCAGTAATGAATTAGCTGTCCACTAGTTCTATGTTATACCAAGTGGTGCCATAGCTGAGCCATCTCATTCATACATGCTAATTACATGTAACATGTTAATTTGAGAATGTCAATGCAATAATGATCTGTGTATACCCCTTAAATTTTGAGAAGACTAATTTGGCAGTGAAGCCTAAAATAACTTTGGGTTGAATGTTTTGACTTGTTTACTAAACATAACAAAGTTTATAACTAATGTTTTCTTTTTGTTGAATCTTCATATATTTTGCTAGTCATCAGTTGATACCTGTTAAATTTGTTAATGTATTGAAGGTGTGTTGCATTGTTACATACTTTTGCTCAAGTCATCATTAAGATTCCTAAATTATGATATCTTGTGGTTCAAATGTATTCTCCATCACTGCTACATTACATTGAAATATTTCTCATTAAAACTCTGTAGCCTGTTGTGAGAACTGTTGTTCTGATGGTTCCAGGTCATGTTAAACTAATAAAATTCAAGCCTTTGTTGGGTAACCAATGAATTAATTGTGTTTTTAATCAATCTCAGTCCTTTTCACACAATCAAATATTATTTTTCATATATTGCAAGATTTGGTGAGATGATTCTCTACCCCCACTGCCTTGTAGCCAGTTAATTTCTAATATTTTGGTGCTGCCGTCCTCGGCATCTTCTTCCCTCAAGATGAGGCCTACTACTGCTAGGGGAACAACATCTCCTTTCTTAGCTCTTTTCGATGGCGGCTCATCTGTTTCTTCTTTGCCTTTAATGTTGCAAGTCTCACTGCACCCTTGATTGCCAGCTGCTTCGTCTGTGGTGGTCCCTTGCCTAAGCTGATCACGACGTTTTCTTCTCTGGTTGGACCAGGTATTGCTCAGAGCAGAAACTTGGAAACCCACTGACTTAACATCTTTGATTACGCACTTATATTGCAACTGGAAAAATAAAATGGCATTACACAATGGGCCGTCAAGTTAAGTCCTCCTTGGTAGAAATCTTAGTAACGAGACGCAAGACATAACAACCTACATTTAGCTTGTCCATGAGCACCTTAACTTTGCTCACAAAAGAATCGAAGGTGTTGAACAAGTCATTTTTAGGTTTAGGCAATTTATAAAGGAGAGGGGGTTTCGGCTTCTGTTTCACATTTACTGGCTCTGTAGAAAGTGATTCACATGTCAGGTGAACAGAATGGCTCCATGCTAAACCCCACCTAGTGACCTTGCCTTGGCAAAATTCAGAGGAAGCCACTTCCTTGATGTTTTTACTCTTCAAATACTGCAAAATTTTGGGAACACTTGACTTGTGACCAACCATAGTTGTAAAGATTCTGTTCATCAGATAGAAGAGGAGAGTGAATGTATGTATTAGTGCTAAATTAATATAGTTTGATAAGTGCATTCATGCTTTGATAAAAAAAAAAAAAACCATTACTCACCGAATGTTGTCTTTCAATTTGAAAGAATCATCAATCATTTTAAAAACAAATGCAACTTCTCCTCCTTCCACGACAATTTCATTGGCTGAGCCTGTGCGTGCATTGTTTGGAGGTGGTCGAGGAGAACTCATTGAGCGGCTCTTGTTAGTCTTTTCTACATCTTCCTCTGAGGCATAGAATGGGGGATTGCACATTGTGAAGTGAAAACATGGTGGCTTGGGGTCAAATGTATTCTCCAATATAGAATCTTGAATTATGGCCTCTCCATCAACTTTTTTGACTGTAACATAGTACAATGCAATAAATTTGAAATTAGAAATAGTCAGCTTTAAAAATCTTTGTAAATAGTTCATGTAATTTGATAATACATCAATTACCTTTCACCAGGGATTCCAAATTGTTACGAAGCACATTCTGTGTGGCATGATCAAAACACACTTCATTCTTTTCAGTACCTATCATATGCCATCCATTCTTTTTAGCTGCTAAAAGAGGGTACACACAAGATGCTCCTGTACCTAAAATTAAGTACAAGATGAGTCAGTGGGAGAATGAAACCAAAGCAAAACAATACCATAAGCAAAGGGATATCACCTATATCAATACCATACACTGGGCTTCCAGAATCATCCACCTCGAGGGCTGCCACTAAATCCTCCAGCCATAGAATATAGTTTAAGCGTAGAGGAAGAGTCGGGACTAGATACTCTGAAGGTAATACAACATCTAAGCCCCAATCTTCTTTGAGTAAGACTCTTGTCAAGGCACGCAAAGCGTCGGCGTTTTTGAAGTCAATTAACACTTTGCCACTTATGTCAATTTTGGCAAATTGTCGAAACTCTTCATTTTTGAGAGCCAATTCTTTAAAACTTGGAGGTGTCTTGTATTTATTCCTGGGATGCATTTTCCGATTCAAAGCCATGTTTCAATTGAATTGATTCGTCTCTGTCTTGATGTGAGGATACTGAAACGGAGAAAAACAAGTAAAAGTTAGATACAAATGACAGATTCGTAAGGTTAGGTATTCTTGACAACGTCTGAAAGACGATCGAAAGGTCCTCCAAACAAAGCTGACACTTCAAAGTATGCTGCTGAAACTATGCACAGTGGTAAATCTTTATACTTTGAATCAATATTAACACAAAAAAGTGTAAAATTAGGACAAAATACTTACTTAAAACTAGCCTTAGTTGCTCAGCCACAAACAAAACAATCTTAATTTCTCATAGTTCGAAAGCCTAAAGTATTTTTCATACAGCACTCCCCCCCTCCCCCCCCCAAGCCCACCACACGTTGTTTGTCAGAAACTAGAGTCAAGCCATCAATGAAAAATAAAAAGGAGGCATTGCTGTGGGAAAACACCAGAGATCCTTTCAAATTTCTGTAATGCTATGTGAACTTTCAGTTCGGTCTTGTGCTAAATATTATTCAACAATTCCCTCTTGTTCACAGCGCCGGGAAGGTAGACTACCTCTTTGACACGTCACAGGGAAGACCTGCAAAACAAGACCAAGACATTAGAGATTTGTCGCGCCTGGGAATCGAACCCAGTTCCTTAATCAGGCCGGCCGCTACCTTCCCTGCCAGAATCAGGCGTTCGAAACGACGTCGATTCGAACACCTACTTGTGGCTGGGTTGCGCTCTCAGCCACCCTCTCTTTATCTTTGTTTGAGAAGTAAACCGAGGAAAATGTTCAAACGCTAGTGGCAGTGCTGGTTCTAAACATGACTCAAATTCCAATGTCTCAATTCGGGGCTCGAGTCGGGCTCTGCCGGGGCTCTGGCCGGGGCTCAATCGGGACGGGGCTCATGTCGACCCTGCCGAGTTCTGGTGCGCTGTGGACGGTGGGTTGCCTACCTCTGCGGCGCAGGCTCAAATACTTCCACTTTTTCGCCAGAAAAAGGCTGTTTAGGGCCCAAATGGTCCTCGAAATAGTGCCAGCAGCAACGAGGGAGTGCCCCAGCACTATTCGAATTTGGTCGAAATTGATATGGATTGTGAGTAACAGTTGTTCCTATTGTTCTTTTTTAGTAGAATAGTACAGTAGTCTGATGAAAATTTTCATGGGAAAGGGAATTCTCAATAACTCAAGACAGGATTCACTCTAATAATATGTATTCATATACAAGAATATACACAATTGCCAAAGTCTTAATATGAGATTTTTTTTTGCAAGCACAAAACAACAGTATTATTGTATGACTGTGTAGATATCATTAACAACATGTCCAATTGACCAGTCCACTTGTGCATTGATGTGCAATAATTAATGACATGCACGAATGAGAAGAATATGAGTCAAAATCTCCCACTAGCCATCTTTTCACTGCTGCCTCCCATCTGGTCTACAAAAAGCAAAATGTGCAATGAGCCCTCTATTATCTTACTCGTATCATTTTACAATGGATAAGATAGCCAACAATACATAACTAAAAACACTGAATCACTGAATCCCGAATGAACAGTAACATGGGGAAGAAGAGATTATTTAAACAAAAGACTGAGATAGGACTCATGTGCTTTGTGCATGGGTTTTAAACACTTTGGAAGCCCACACAACTTCCATTTTGAGTATTCCTAATATTACATCAAACAAACAAACAAAATTTAAAAAAAACAAAAAAAAACAAGGAGGCAAGATGTACCCAATGTTAAACATCAGGTAAAAACATACAGCAAAATTAATTAATACTTGAAAAGTAATACAAAACTGACTTAAAAAGTGTAAATAAAGCAGTTAATAACTAGAGGCAGTGTGGACAATACTACAATCACATAAGACTAACAGGGAACAAAAGATAAAAACATATTCTTTGGTTTATCAGTCATGCTTTATGCTACAACATACAATCAAATAAACATCTAAAGGATTTACTTACATAGCAACTCTCTACTTAACCATTGAGCATAATTCTTGATGTTATAAGAGAGTGCAACCGAAAGTGTTAAAGCTCCACTGAGTATTCACATTTAAAATGCCAAGTAATAGAATTTGCTCAAAGAAACATTGTAATCTTTTCTTAATAAAAAAAAAAAAACATGAGTAAAAATAGAAATGAACACAAAAGGCACTCTCTCAACACGCACACACACACGCACACACACACTGATTATAAATTGTATTATTCCAACTGGCTTTCATTTTCTCTCACATCCACCACTTACAGATCCATCCATTGTGTAATTTCTCAAGTGAGAACTGTCAGTGATTTGGTCAGTACTTAAGTTTGGCACTATTACGACGAAGAAATTACCTTCGCTTAATGATGAGCCATAGATCCTGAATAAGTGGTAGTCAAACCAGTCTAATGAAATATGAAGACAGTTTTTATGGATTAGGCAGAAAGAAGAATAGGAATGAGAAGCCTATTTGCATTTCTTTTAAGTTCTTAAATTCATGGATGCTTAGTGGAAAGTTTCAACGACTGCCTGACCTAATGTGTCTGGAATGAATAGCAGTTGGCAGAGATTAAAAATATCAAGTGAGTGATCTTTGCTTTAGTAGCACCAAAACACAGTCACTGATTTTTTAAGAATGCTGTGGTCTGGGACCAAGAGAGTTAATGATATGAAAAAAAAAAAGTTTATCAACTAAAACAAAATGGAATACAGTACTTTAAAAAATGTTGTCTGATCTCTTAAGAGTTATTTAAAATGGTAGGAAAACACCCATTCTTTTACTAGAGAGCATTATTTTCTGTAAGAAATATTATCTCTGTTTTATGTTTTCAAGTGACCTACTAACTCAAATTTAATACAAAATTGGTTGGGATTCAATGAGATTCGTCTTTTCTTCTCAGGCAAAACAATACACTAGTTCGGCTTGGATGGTAAGTAGAATCTGACACTTCTTATACTAGGCATTCTTAGAAATAAATGCCCATGCCCCTAAGACTCCTACCCTACATTCTTTTCACAATATAAAAACATTCGGAGAGTACAAAATAGCTTAGTCAGCGCTGCATTTAGGAAGAAGCATACAACAGATGGAAATAAGGTGTTATATACATAATATCTAACTTTGTTACTTTCGTACAAAATGAAAAGTTAATTACAATTGCATCAAGTTTAGTACATATTAGTAATGTGTTATGGCATCAGTATTAATTGTATACCCCTTCTGTCACGAGTATTCCCTTTAGAGACTACAAAGGAATCATCAACTTCCTATTAAACCTAGAGATAATTGAAATTACTGCTCTGCCAAGTTCAAAATATTTACAATAGAATTATACTTTTATACTGTAATACAAGCTTGTCAAACCACTGGCTTTGTAACAACACAGAGTAAGTCTGTTAGTAAAAGACTATTACTTGAAAGTTATGTGTACAAACTTTGTGCTAATATAAAACTAACATTTTCATAGATTCATTCAATAAAGCTGAGCATAAAATTGGTAAAAAAAAAAACAAACACAATTAAACAAAAAAAAAAATCCCAAATTGTTCCTTGTAAGCAAAACACATTGGGTTCAAGTACCAAATACACAGATTTTCTCTGAGAGAAGACTGTGTCCTCCCATTTTCAGTAGCAATACCTTCTGACTAGATTCAAGAGGTGACAATATAAGCCTTAAAAATCTGTGGTTACACAAGAATGTAAATGTGTCATTTATAAAGTTTGAACGTATACGTCTGAAAGCGACAAGTCGATTTGACTAGTCAGGTGGGGCTCGACCTGGGAAGCCACTGTACCATGGAACAACACATTAAAAATTCTGACAATCATTTTTTTGGTTTCTCAGTTCAACATGCTTCTTAATTAAAAAAAGACAGATACTAGTTTTAAAGAATAAAATGGATTTTGAAATGAAGAAACAGTTTTAAAGTACAAAATTGAAATAGTGCAGAATCCAATAATAGAAAAAAATTTCATAGTCTTCACTACAACATCTTTGGTTGAAGCCTGAATGGGCCTATACACACAATCCTTGCACTGCCCATGTTGGAATGTCATAAACAACTTCAGTCTTCAGCAGCTTATCTTCACTCCAACTTTAACAACATTTTTAAATTGTCCTTTTTTAAAATATGTCATTAATAACACAAAAATATCACAGTGTGGCAACATAGCTGACACACCTGAAGTCAAGGCTTTAAAAAGGAAAAGAAACAACAGGAATTGAATTTAAATTAGACAAAAATGAGATAAAATAACTACACTTACGAGCTCAAGACGCTCTTGGAGAATTCAGACAGGATCAATAACCAATTGGTGTGAAACATTGACAACATCAGTTATTTACAAGAACATGAGATGAGACCTGCACTACCAGTGCATATCGTTCTTAAATAACTTTTGACAAACTAAATGAAGACATGAACCGGTACACTACTGTGCAATGGTTGAGGGAAGGGGGAGTATCAAATGATAATCACTGTTACAATATATACTGAACCAGTCCTTTAAGCTGATAACTATTTATCCTACAGTACAAAAAAGGTGCCTACTCCAACTGAAATACCCAATTCCTCTTCAATTCACATACAGATCTTAATTTAATTTAATTTTCTCTAAACAAAACAATAACATAAACAATGAGGATATTGCTTTTCAGTATACTTTAAAAGAACTTTATGGTATATCTTCTAAACTAGGACTAGTCATAATAATAATAGTAAGTAAACTTTGTCACTGTACATTATGATATCCCCACCCTTATAAAACGCAATGTTGGTGACCATGAAACATATTGCACCAGGGGGAAACTAGTTTACAACATGTTCATGCCATCCAACAAACCATGCTATGCAATAGCAGAACCCTGAAATTTTCCAATTGCCAGATGACATCAAAGTGTAAGGAAAATGAAAGCTGAGTAGGCACCTCTCTAACTGCAATGTCCAAAATAGTCGAAGAAGCACATGTTCGGCAGCCTTCTGATACTGACTTAATCAACAACTCTAGCCTACGGATTTCCATGGTTCAATATCATTTAAAATATGAACTGATTTTTTAAAAAAAGGAAAAAATCTAAGTATTTATTTAAATTCTGAAGTATGAAGGGGGAAGTAACCCAGCTATCCATCACCTTGGCAATTCATTACAATCAAACAAGAAGTACAAGGTGTAAAAACGCAATTCAGAAACTCGGATATAACTTGCAATCTGCCAATGTTAAGGAGCCTTTTGTCAATATCTTGTGGTTCAAATATAATCTGGGTTTCAATTTTTCTGCTCAGATTCCTAACATGGAATTACCAAATCACAGCAGTCCTTAAGAAGAAAAACTAAAAATAAAGCAACGTAAGTTCCGCGTTCACTGAACGCAATGGGGGCCAGTCCCACTGAGGGGACTGGCCAGCAACACACCGCCATCTTCATCTTCAATCTCTTCAATCCACATCCAAGTATTGGTAGCTTCTTCACGCTCTTGCCACATCACAGTTTCCATCACCTCCATGAAGTACGTCGAGCTGGAGTGCAGGCTGGTGCCGGCCGTCGCTCGCCTCGCAGCAGACACAGTGCCTCGCGGTCCTGGAAGTCTTGAGGCTCCCCGCCACCCTGGACGCGACGCTGCGGCCTGCGGGCAGCGCCACACCGCCTCGCCCAGTGTCCGAGGAGCCCCCGGAGTGGAGGAGGGACTGCTGCTGCTGGGGCGCACCCTGGTCACCTTAGGTCAGGGTGTGCTGGGGCCGACTAGGGCCGCCAGTGCGAGCACAGCGTCTCCACGCTGAGGGAGTCCAGCCGGTGCGAGGACGGCGCCGACGACGGCCCCGACAGCGAGGACTGCGACGGCCTCGTACTCCTTGTGGGCGGCGTGTTGCGACGCAGGTGCTAGGTCCTGTAGATGTAGCTGCAGGGCACGTTGCCGCCGGTGCCGCCCTGCAGGCCCGGGCCGCCCGGGCCCTGGTCGTTGGGCGGCGGGGACGGCGACGACGAGGGGGGAGAGGGGGAGGAGGAGGACGCGCTGGACGGCGGGCTGCTGGTGGCCAGCGGGTGCGCGCCGCGCGGCCGCCGCGACCCACCCTGGCTGCGGTGGGTGCCGTGGTGGCCGTGGTGGCTGCCCGAGCCCTGGCCGTGGCGCTGCTCGCGCTGCTGGTGCTGGCCGTGCTGGCCCCTAGCGTGGTGGCCGCGCAGCGCCAGCGCCGACATGTCCTCCTCCCCCCCGGAGTCTCAGAGGTACACCTTCTTGACGCTGCGGGTGGTGCCGAAGCCGTCGTGGTGCGACCGCAGCGTGCCGAAGTTGTCTCGCGGCATCCGCTGCAGACAGAGACCGACAGTCAGTAGGGCGACGAAGCTGGAAGCAACGAGTGACCACCACTGCACGTACCTGCTGGGCGTAGCTGGGCGGCGCGTACGCCTCGGGGAACTGGAAGAGAGTCTCCTGCGCCGCCGTGCTGTTGGCGTGCTGCTGGACCTTCCGCAGCGTGCTCTTGGGCGAGTTGAGCGACTTGCTGTTGGCCTGCGGCAGGTGCAGCGGCTCGGCGTAGGTCACCTCCTCCTGGGGCAGCAGCTTGGGCTCCGCAGTCAGCCGGCTGGGGAAAGGAAAGACACTGTTAGTCCTGCGATGCAGCTACGCCACGCGCGAGGGAGTTTTGGCCGCCTCCGCCGGTCTTCTGGCGCAATGTGGGTAGCTCCACCCCCGCGAGCTTCTCACCTGTTGACGTTCTGGCGCTGCTCGAAGTACTCGTACTCGGTGTCCGGGTACGGCAGGTTGTCGTCGTCGTCCTTCCTGCACTTGCGGCCGCACAAGTAGCCCATGGCGAAGCCCAGCAGCAGCGCGGCGGCCGCGCCGGCCACCACGGCGATGGCGAGGGTCTCCACGGAGTACTGCGGCAGCAGCGAGTCGGCCGCGCTCACCTCGGGGCCCGAGTCCGTGCCCTGGGTGATGTTGATGACCTCGCCGTCCTCGCCCTCCTTGCCGGCCTGCCTCGAGTCGGCGTTGTGGTGCGTCTTGTGCGTCGAGCTGGCGCTGCTGGCGCTGCTGGCGTCGCCGCGGTCGCCGTGCCGCTCGCTGTGGCGCGTGGACGCCGCCTTGCTGGCCGGGCAGCCCGGGTGCAGCCCCGTCGCGATGCTCTGGTAGAACTGCTTGTCGTCGGCCCAGCGCTTGGCGCCCGGCCCCGTCGTGCTCTGCGCCTGGCACCGGCCCGCCTGCTTGTCCCACGCGCAGTACGGGTCCTGCAGCGCCACGCACTCGCTGCGGACAACAACAACAACATGAGCACAACGCCACAACAAACTCATCGAAAATCCCAAGGGTTGCCAGCCTCAGCCTGCCGACAAGGCAAAAAGTCTAGATTTTGCCCAAAGGCAGGCGGAGCACAGCGGGCCGAAACTCAAGACGTGTCTTTGAGATCCAGAGTCGCTAAATGGGACCCGAACCGAACGTGTGACCCCACCAATGCATTCCTCGTTCGGAGAACAATCCATTGGTGGGGTCACACGTTCGGTTCGAGCCCCGTTTAGCGACTCTGGAGCTCAAAACGCGTCTACAGTTTTGGCCGCCTCCACCGGTCTTCTGGCCCACTGTGCGGAGGTTGGCAACCCTACCGACACTGCTGGGGCACATCGCGGGAATACGTGGGTGGAAACACCATGGCGATACACCGGCAAAAGCCGTCGCCACTCCGCGCGCCAGAGACTCCCCGAGGCGCGGGGTAGCGGCGGGAGTCCACTCACCTGCACGACAGGATCTTGTCGGAGAAGCAGCGGTGCAGGCGCAGGGCCTGGACCTCGGCGTCGGACACCACCACGAGGCGGCCGTCCGACACGCCGCCCTCGCCCGCCTTGACGACGCGCACGTTGCGCACGCGGATGTGCGACGCGAACACCTGCATCTCCTCGATCACCACGGGGCTCACGCGGTTCAGGGTGTCGGCCGCGTCCGCGTTCACGGCCTTGATCACCTTGCCGTTGTCTGCAAAAGGGGAAAGGCGCGAGTTCAAGTACCGCCGATCGCTGTCTCTCAACTCCAGACGCGCTTTGCGCTCCAGAGTCGCTACAAGGGACCCGAACCAAACGTGTGACCCCACCAATGGATTCCTCGTTCGAAGAGCAATGCATTGGTGGGGTCACACGTTCGGTCCGAGTCCCAATTAGCGACTCTGGAGCTCAAAACGCGTCCGGTATAGACCGCCTTCAGCGGTCCTCTGGCCCACTGTGCGTCGGTCCGTATTTACCTGTCCCGATGAACAGAACGTCGTACGCCTTGCCGCCCGGGGTCTTCACCTGGGGGTCCACTGCTATCTGGGTGAACCGGTAGCTGCAACAGGGACACCGTTAGACTCTCTGCGGGGACCAGGACACGAGAAACCAGCGCAGAGACACCTACTTGAAGCTGGTCCGGATCACGACGGGCTGCCTGAAGAAGGACCCCACCGAGCCGTCCATCAGGGAGTGGGTCTTGATGAAGTTGAGGGTGAGGTCGGGCAGCGTCCTGGAGTCGTTGACGCACTGCCCGGGCCGCGGGTCGGGCACCTGCAGCAGAAGCACGCCGTCAGCACGCCCTCTCTCCACCAGAAGACCGGTGGAGGCGGTCAAAAGGCTAGACGCGTTTTGACCTCTGGAGTCCCTAAATGGGGCTCGAACCGAACGTGTGACCCCACCAATGGATTCCTCGTTCGGAGAGCAATCCATCGGTGGGGTCACACGTCCGCTTCAAGTCCTGTTTAGCGACTCTGGAGCGCAAAGCGCGTCTAGTACTTTGTCCGCCTGCGCCGGTCTTCTGGCAAATCCACTGTGCGTCGCACTGGCCGAGTCAGACAGAGAGGGTGGGACTCACCTTGTTGGGCGGCACGGGCAGCCAGTTGGCGTTCATCTCTGCCTGCTCCTTGAAGGAGCTCTCGAAGGCCCGGTTGATGTCTTTGAGCGAGAAGGCACACACGGCCGAGCCGGAGATGCTGTTGACGGGGGTGGTGAACACGCCGTACATGAGCTGCGAGTGGTTGCCGCCGTACACGCCCTCAATCATCTCCGTGGTCGACTCTGCAAAGTGAAACAAAATTTTATTGATAAATTGCGGTAAAAGTTTCTTGTTAGGTATTTTAAAATGCGGTTGTTTGCAGTGCACAATCGACCCTTCCGTCCTCCACCCCACATGACAGGACGACCAGAAGCCCAGGGCTCCCGGAAGTCCCCCCTCCCCCTCCCCCCTTTCCCCCGGTTCCGGAGGGTTCCACGGCATGGGCCCCGGAGTCCAAGGGACCGGAGGTAACCCGCCGGACCCGGTCCAGAAACGCCTTTCAAAAATAATGACCAAAATATCCCGTGCCAACGCTGGCGCGCGCTGCCACCCGGGGGGGGCGGGTTCAACTCCCCGTCGGGGGCGGCCTTTTCCCTCGCTGTCTCCGTCTCGCCGCGGTACTTACGCATCTCGTTGAAGTAGAAGGGGAAGTCTCCGGGGACGGAGCAGTTGAGTCGCGCCTTCAGGAAGGACGTCCACCGGTTGCGGAAGTTGTGCGGGCCGCCGCTGTCTCTCTTGCACACCCGCGCCACCCGCGAGAACACGGCCTGTGGGACAGAGACAGAGAGAGGGGCTTGTTACGTCGCTGTACGCAGAAAGAGGAAGAGAGGTTGCCAGTCCAGGCGAGGCACACAGTGGGCCAGAAAGCGACTCTGGAGCTCAAAACGCGTCCGGGATTTCGACCGCCTTGTGGGGCGCCTGCGAAGTCGAGGGTAGGCCAGCCCGCAGCACAGCCGCGTCGCCGGGCGGCCTACCCGCAGTCCGCAGGCGCTCCGCCACGCCGTCAGCGCGGCCAACCCGGTCGAGGACCTCGTCGAGGACCTCGTCGAGGACCTCGTCGAGGAACGCGGAGTGCGCAGCGCAACCGCAAGTCCTCGAGTAGGCCGTCGGCCCCGCCGCCTGGAAAAAGAGTTTCCTCCCCCCTCCAGCCTCCTGGAGCCTCCAGGGCGCTGGGACCTGCGACGGGTGGCGTCGTCTGGCGAGGTGAGGCGCCACGGCCTGCCATCACTCAGCGGCAACTTCCAGGCGACACTCCACGGGGCCGGCCCGGGCCAGCCAGCCCGGCACACAGTGGGCCAGAAGACCGGTGGGGGCGGACAAAACTCTAGACGCGTTTTGAGCTATAGAGTCGCTAAACGGGACTCGAACCGAACGTGTGACCCCACCAATGGATTCCTCGATCGAAGAGCAATCCACTGGTGGGGTCACACGCTCGGTTAGAGTCCCATTTAGCGACTCTGGAGCTCAAAACGCGCCTAGAGCTTTGTCCGTCTCCACCGGTCTTCTGGCCCACTGTGCGGCAGCCAGCCCGTCAGCACGGCGTGCCTAGGCGTAAAATTGCCAGCTCGGGGAGGGGGGAGGGGGCTGAAACAGTACCAGTAGGGCGACACGGAGTGCCTGCCACTGTGTGCAGACATTATGCTCCACAGGGAGGGGGGGGGTGCTGTAAGCGGGCAGAGGGAAAGGGGGGGGGGTAGAACGCCACGGAAAGGGGAGTCATTGTTAGACAGCGAAAGTATGTTGACATAACAGCGAGGGCTTGCTCTCCACAATGGAGGGGCTAGCAGTTAGATGTATAGATAGACCGATAGAGAGATGGATAGGTAGATAGACGGATGAGCGGAACTAGGAGGTGGGCGCACCGGAAGCCATGCCTACCGGGGGGGGGGGGGTAGAAAGAGAGGGATAGGGATTGCTGTTTTCGTTTCATTATGTTTTAACGGCTTGCGCATGGGCAGCTGGCTGCTGGGGGCTCGGCAGCGCGGAGACTTGCAAGTTTTATGCGCACAGGGCGTGGCGCGCGCGGCCGTGTGTGTGTGTGTGTGTGTGTGTGGGGGGGGGACTCCCTCGCCCCCTTCCCTGCCCCCTTCAGAGACCAATGCTCCATACATACTAACACAAGGGGAAATTCGGGTCAGAAACAGAGAGGCAAAGGAGAGAAAGAAATAGAAAAGCCGAAATTTAGGAGCCTCACTCCTTGCTTCTCCGGGCCGTGGCTTGACGGGTTGACCTCCGGATGCCCGAGAGCAGGGAGTTGCGCCATTAGGATACTATACACCCCCACCCCACCCCCACCCCCCAGTGCTCTAGCTAGGGGGTTATGAATTTCGTTACTTAGACCCCACTGCCCCTCCAGGGAGCCGGAGAGAGAAATGGGAAAAGGAGGGAGAGGGGGTGGGGAGGGGGGAACAATTGGCCGGGGGACCTTCTGTTCCTGTTCCAAAGCAAGCAGCGCCGCCAGTCCGACCGATGCAGCGGCTACCTGCCACCCCGCCCCGCCCCGCCCACACTAGGTAATTCACCCTCGTCCAACAAGATGACTGTGTTTGTCTCGGTCGAGCCGACGCAGGTCCGCCGGCCGCAGTGCGCGTGGCGACAGGCCGGCTGGGAACCGGAAACCACAGACCGGCCGGGTTAAAACGTCATCCCGACCGCCAACCTGGGGATTTTGCCTTCGCGCCAAAATACTCTCTCTCCCTCTCTCTTCCTCGTCTGTGGAAACGGACCGTAATTCAAGTCCTTCTGAATACGAGGTGGAGCCTTGAGCCACTTGTCGACCGTGTTCTGTTTGCCCGATAAACAGCCCCGAAAGGACGGTACGCCATAACGATACGGTCCAGGTAGATTCAGGATCCAGCCAGCCGGTCGCGACAAGCGAGAGCG